GCAGACATATATAGGATATAAAATGTGGGCTATTTTCTTGCTATTGATATTGCTGAGTGCAAAAGCTGTAATTACCATAATAATATTGGAAGACATGTCACATCAGCTCATGAAAAATGACATTTTAGTTATGTATATTTCCTCTCAATTCTCACATTACTGGCTCTTGTTGACAATAGTCCCAAAGGTAACATCCAATAATAATCTTTCATCACACTTCAATTTATAAAGATCTTCCCATCATAATTATCTGACTTTGTCTTATTTACTTTAGACGTTAGACAGTTCATTACTACAAGGGGTGCCATTATGTGATCTAAGGGGTGCCATTATGTGATCTACTAGGCCATCTGTCACAGGAAGGGGTGTTATATTTATGCTGGTAATAGTTTTGAAACCCTTCATGTAATGACAATGAATATGGCTTTGGCACTTTAGATAAACCACAAAATATTCAAAAAGCATTAAATCAATCCTCAAAATGTTATTTTAAAGCATTGAAATCAATGAGTAAATTCTACAACAAAATATCAATACAGTACAAAAAATTATCAAAACTTATTTGCTGTGTACCGTACAGTGAAGTTGGCTTCCTTTATTCTCAAAAGTAGTCAATTTTTCATGAATAAGATAAAATATTAAAAAATTCTCTCTTTATTACCTTCAAAATTACTAAAAACATGAAACGTGGAAACATCTGGGAAACACCCTGCAGTCACCGCCATGCATAACTCCCTCACAATTTCAAATCCAACAATGAGCAAAATTTTTATAAACAAGCCAATTTCAAACATGATAGCTGAGGAAGGCATATGTGGTAAGATTATTATTGGTGGAATTACCACAATATTTGTGAGAAATTCTCCTTCTGGTTAATGTCAAAACATTTGTTCAATGTCAGGAAAACATCAACTACATGTCACCTGCTAAACAATGGTCATCAACTCCGAGATAAGAGAAATACAGGGTGTCTCATAAACCGCTCACTATATGATGCAATTTTATAGCAAATATATTGCTGGTTAAATAAGGAAATTCTTGACAACTGTGTTACTGTAAGCTTTATACACAGGGTACATTTCAAATTTTTACTGATGCCAAAATGATTTCACCAATATCCCCTTTTTCCAAATTTTTTTATGAATACCCCTGTATTTGTTAATAATATACAATACACAAAAGTAATGGCAATTTGACCACTGTAATAACTCCTTGCCTGTATGATAACTTAGCTTCAGTAAGGATTATTCACCCCGACATGTGTCTTCACCAACATTCACTAAAAATTTCAAGCATACTATTTCCACCCATATTTCTGACACATCTGGAAGAGAGATCAAATTCAAACTACCCTGTAGTACAGTATATCATGAACTGAACTTACTTCCTGAGTTACTTAAACAAGTTTTTCTCACTACAGAATAAAAGCCAATAAACAACTTGACAACTTAATTAAAAATATAATAAAATAAATAATCAAGACATCGTGATTGTGTAATTAAATTTTAATTTTCTTCTGTTACCGTGTACAATGAAAGACAAAAGTAGTGTCGTGAAATTTGGTGAAAACATCTGCCGAAGGGCTAAACTTTTGGCGCGCTCTGCCTTGTGGTAGGGGGCTCTCATAATGTTTCACGGGTTATATTTAATCTTCGGACAAAACTGAGACACGACTTTTGTCTTTGAATGTACATATAAATGTGTATAATAATTAATAAAGAATTATACAACCTATGAAAATAAGTTCTGGCAAATATTAAAAAACTTTATAAAAATCAATTATGCAGCAGAGAATCAAGATTTTCATTATCCCTTCAGTTACCTTGCAGAAATATAATTTTGGTGAATCAATCCAGTCAAGATATTAATCCCAAACTCCATCCACAGTCAATAATGGAGAAGTTCCCGGTAAATCATCGGTGACTCTTCTTCTTTGAAAGTGAAGGTTTTATAAAGAGCTCATCATCATCAGATGAACTGGACACCAAGTCATGATATGGTTGACTGCTGACTCTCTTCTCTGAGGGAAGTAAAACATTCAAACAATAGTATGAGACCACATCTAAGAATATCTAAGGGACATAAGACATTCAAGTGAAAATAATACAGTATTAACACTTTTGGGGTTTTCAAATGCAAAAATGCGTATGATTGAAATTATCACATCAGGGTTTTAGTATGCAAATTTGCATATGAAGTAAAAAATTTAAATAAAAAAAAAATTTTTCGCATATAAATGCTAGACATGCAAGACGCATTACAACATCAGCAAGATCTGGCAACTATTTAGACTGCACTCCAAGGTCACAACACCAGTCTCCCTTTTGTGTTTAAAGGACCCAGGATAAAACGTTGACCCACATTTCCCAAAAATTTTCTTGCGGCTTGTGATGATTTCTCGTGCATCACAGTGATTAAATTTATTCATTATAGTTTTGTGATAGTTTTGAACCATGCGAGGTTGGGAGGGATGGAAAAATGTAAGAAGTGCAGAAAGATTGCACCATGTGCTGATAGTGTGGTGCCTCCTGATGCCTCTCCCTAGCAAAATATAAATTTTTTCATTACTTCTCTTCTATGACTATTTTTTCCTAAATAAGCATGCTTTATAATGGAATAAGGTTCATATTATAATCAAATTAAATGACAAAGGTATAAAGTGATCTACAAACATTTTCATTAAGCGTAAATAAAAAATTGTGCTCTACTTGTGCTTACGTATAGAAATAATTACTGTATTTTATCATGATTACTCTTAAACAACTGGGTTTTTTTAAGACATTTACAATGCTAATGCAACAAATCTCACTTTTTTTATCTCAAATAGCAAGCTTGCTATGACTCATAACATACAATTATATCTTGTGTGGCGCAGTCAAGTGCGGTGAGGTGAGTAACAAACTAGACCCCGATCGCCTACCCAAACCCAAGAGTGTTAACATACCTATATCATGAAAATAAATAGTATTTTTTGTCATATTCTACAAATTCATTAGAGAAAACACTTTCACTTACTTTTGATCTTATTCTTAGTGCCTCCATTAAGGAAATTTATAGCTGTTTCATCTTCAGATGCTGATGAAGTATCATTGAATATATCAACAGAATGGTTAAGCTGGTGGAAGCCATAAGTTTTTCTCCGTTGATTCTGTGAGCGGACAGTTGCAATACAGAGGCAGCAGATCATAAGCAGCAATATTACTGAACCTGGGGGTAAGCAGAAACCATTAGCAGTGATTACTACAGATGTTAATGAGCAAAATAGAAAGAAAAACAATAAATAAAGCTAAGAGCTTTTGAAGCATCTAAGTGTATACAGTACTGTAACAATAATGAGTTCATCATAAATTCATTTACATTTCATTTATACATTTTTTCAAGTACTGTACTGCACCCTGTACATTACATTCCACTGTAATACATTTATTCTCTTGGATACACTCCCAACTTTGTTCTTCACCAAATTGATTATTTCTGATAACTTCTCACTGAAATACATTCTTTGGCAAACTTTCCCTATTCACTCTGCACACCAATTCTATTAAAATGTTCACACCTCATCCTACATTTCAGACTTCTATTCAATATTATAATGTCTAACCTTTTTTTTTCATCTCCGCTATCACACTTCCATGTAAGTATTCTTGGAAATTATTCTACATCTTCACTCATTCATGGCACCCTACATGTGTATTTCCCAAATTCCATTCATTTCCCTGTCACACACTTTTGCAATGAAATCTCACATCACTACTATCCATTCTCTCAGACAGAAGTTTTCAATTCAATTACTGTAGTCAGTTCTGCTATAACGTGTGTTTCGTCAATGCGAATTGGCTGCAACGCGATTGATATTATATAAAATACAGTGGGGTATGCCATAACGAATCTAATTTGTTCTAGAACCTTGTTCGTTATAGCATTCGTTCGTTGTAGGATTAATCCGTTCCAAGCCCCCAAATACAACCGCTTAACACTGAAAAATATAATATAAAATTGTAAAAAAGTGCATAAATATGCATCTAAACCCCTGAAATAAAGAATATCATAAATACTTGTAATAAAAAAACAATAAATTAGGAAAAAAAAAAAAAATTCGTTGTAGGAGTTTCGTTCGTTATAGCATTCTCAATTTTATAGGTAAACCCGTTCGTTATAGGAATATTCATAGTAGAATCCATTAATTATATCATACCCCACTGTAAACACTTTAAAGCCTAAAGAAAACACGAAACGTTTGTCTGGGAAGGCAGGGATGGGTAGGGAGGGAGGGAGCCAGCGACCGTGGGAAGAGGGGTGAAGCGGGAGGTGAGGTGTATTTTTTTTGACAGATAGTGTCTGGTGAAGTATAATTTTTTTTATTTACTTGAGATTTTGTATTTAAGCTCATAAAATTCATAGAAATTACCCGGCCAGAATATAATTTACATTGCTGGAATTATTATAAGATAGTGATTAATTTGAATATAAACAAGCAATAATTTGTATTAGACATACAAATTTTAGATCTAATTTAAGAATTTTATTAGAGAGAGCAAAAAATTTGTCTTTTGTGCAAAATATATGACGTTTATATTCAAATTATTCGCTGTCTTGCAAGGAATCCAGCAATGCCAATTATATTCTCCTAACTTTAGTCTGAGATATTATTTACTATTAAACCTGTAAGCCTAGTGCTTTTCCCCAAACGTTTCTCGGGAAGGTGGGGGATAGGGAGGGAGAGAGGGAGGGGTGACAGTTGGCGCCTGTGGTGTGAAGTATTTAATTGTTAATTTATGTCCTTTAGATTGAGTTTTTGTTTTTTGCTTATAAAATTTAATAGTGACCAGGGTGAATTTAATTTCCATTGCTGGAATTCTTATAAGATAGTGATTAATTTGAATGTAAACATAGAAGAGATCACTGAATTGGCTGAGTACCTCTTCAGCTTATCAGCTGATGTTCAAAACAAAATGTGATTTTCGTAAGGATTTCATTTATCAATTTTTTTCGTTAACCGAATTGAAGATTCTTATGGAAGGTAATTCGTAAACCGAGGCGTTCGCTAACCGAGGGACCACTGTATATGTATACATTATACGTCAGTTAGTAGATACATTATTCTGTACACTATGCCTGTTCCCAACAATTCACCACAACACAATCACTGTTCTTTCACTCATGTGTGCGGGCTTATAGCTTCACTTAACTCCTAGATATCGTTCCAAGTAACTCCTGTAGCGGCTAGTGTGTGTTCACTCAAAAGGTCTGGCTGATACTGCCCAGTGCCAGCTAGAGCGACCAACACCCCCACACATCTAGCTAGGTCACAGGTTGGGGACCTGCCATATGTTCTATTGTCTAGGACTGAGACGATGGCACCATCATCTCCTAGCTTAATAAACAGCAACACTTTCTCATTACTCTTATCACCCTCCCATAAATGCAATAACACTGAGTACGGGCAGCGATAACATATTTGTTTACTAGCAGCCTGGAATGCAACACAACCACAAAATGCAATACACCTATTCTGTGTATGGGTGTATTGATCACACACACCATATTTAGTAACACATGTCCCATTATTTAGTTCCAGGAATCAACATGGTTTCTCTAGATCTTTTGTCATGAACTTTTTCCTGCAGAAGACAAGTACAGCACAGTATTAAAAGAAAAAGTAAGAAATGAAAGCCAAAGCAGATACTAACATGGCAAAAACTACCTTCATCATACAACAACCTAACAGGTACCTGGAAACATTATATAAAAAGATCTTTGGTAGCCTCTACTGCATGTCAACAATAAATATTATACACATAGCATAATGAAAGGAAATTGATGCCATTCAATAAATATATACAGGGACTATACTTACTGTATAATGAAAGGAGTTTACACGAAAATAAATTAAGGATCTGTGAACTTCATACTTGAACCCTGAGACTAGGATAAATATTATGAGGTCTAACTTGAAAATATATTGTATAGGTGTCATCAATAGTAGAACTTACAGCAATATTCTACCCATGTACTGTATTATGTATGTGTGGGATCCCACAATGATACAAGAGCCAAATAATCAAACAGTTTCCAGAAATTATGACCAGGTCAGAAGAGTCAATCCCATGAGTGACCAAAGCTATCCACTTCTTGTTAGGCCAGAGCTGTCAACTCCAGTAGCTGGCAGCCTTGGTCTAACTATGATTTGACAGCACCAATATTGGGGACTGCCACCAAACATACATACTTCTAAATTCACACATGCATGCATGTTCACACACAAAAACTTTCTATTTGAAGGATTTCTTATCTTGAACTATGCATCTATTGATATAATTCTTTTGAACCTGTTGGTGATGCTTTTGTTTTAGTTAAAATGTATTTTGTGAACTTAATCTATTTTGTGAGAAGACTTATCGTGCACATATGTAAGTCTGCAAATGCAAAATTAGTATCAGGTCAAGATTTAATTCTATTTTGGTTATTAATTATAATCTTTATGCCAAAATTATAAATGTCTAGAACAAAAATTTAATTCTACTGTTATCTTTCCAATCAATTCAGGAAACTGTCAAAACTAACAAATAAAAAATCATAATGCCCAGAGTTCCATGTTCTGCATGGAAGTGGAAAACTCACAATCAACCGCGTTAGAATTATTAATTTTAGTGTCTATATATTCAATAATAGGAGCAATTAGCAAAATGCATAAAAGTAAGCAGCTGGGAATCTTAGTAAATCAAAAGCACCAGGGCCCTTGAGACCAGAAAACAGGAAAGAAGTAACGACACCCAATTCTCAAAATGGCACAACAGCCAAGAGCGAGCATGGGAAGCACCACACCTATTGGGAGGGAAAAAATCATTATGTTATGATAACTTACTATGAAAGTTCTGGGTAACCTAACATCAAAACTCATAAGGAACATACATGTATAAACCTTCTTTTAGAATCATAGATACAAATAATTTTAAATAAGTAGTTAATCTGATGATCAATACTAATCATATGTACAGTACAGTACCTGGTCTGAAAACCCCATAACAAAATTGAAATACTAAATTAGTACTGTAGATACACAACATCATAACTCAGCCTGTTCTATAAACAAGTTTGTGTATAACATACTACTGTACAATGCAGTAATATCTCCGTTAGCCGGAATCCCTCTTAACCAGAACTTTCCGATAGCTGGAATTGAAATTTTCCGAGGGGCACATTTTCTGGAAAATTTTGAGAAAAAATTTTCAGTACCCGGAAAATTCTGGGGATGGGAGTGGTTTTTTTCCGGGTTTGAGAGATGATGTAATGCGCAATTTCTGGAACTTCCAATCAAATATTTTCGTTACCTGGAAAAATCCACGACGAGGGATTTTTTCCAGCTTTGAAAGTCGTCTCGTTACCACGAAATCTCTCATTCCCGGAAGTGCTCTGCACCAACTGTTCTAGCTGACGGACATATAACTTATCTTTTCTGAATGTTAAAGCAAGTGATGACAACAACATTTTGTACTCACCAGCAAGGATAATAAACACCATCCTGGGAAGCCCCATTACACGTTCATCTCTCTTCAGCTTGAACATGACTGTATTTCCCTCCACAACCTGCACAAGTTTGGTCACTCCATGGTAACCATCAAGTTGCACTGTGAGTGTATGAACACCTGGGGTCAAGGGCCGCCACCAGGTTCCGTGATCCAATGAGGAAACAAAATGTGGTGAACCTTCAACGTTTATCCTGGCTCCACTTAATGGTGCATTGTACTGGTCGGTGACAAATCCTGAGGAAACATAATTCCTTAATTACTACCAGGATTATGTTAAGATTAAAATAGCTTACATGGAAGAGAATGTATGTCAATAAAAATTGTACAATAGTTGACTGGCTCATCATTTCTTGAATATAAGAATAATTAAGTGGATATTAAAATTGTGAAAAAATCTAATATAGAAGTTATCAAGCATCAATAGTCCTATAAGAGGTAAAATACTGAAACTTAAGTCACATTGTCACACTTCTCCAACACTGGTCAAAACTTGAGCATGAACACTGCTATTAGCTAAATAGCGCCCTCTTTGATTTTTTTTTGTAAACCTTTTGTCGTCGGTATTATAAAGCCTGCAATAACCAAGGACGCAATACAGTTACTGTATATGTTAAATCACTGGTCAACTGTATGTCTGGAACAGTGGAGGGCAAGAAGAAGTTAATTTAGTAAATATATTCTGTATAATTAATACAGAATGAACATTAACTCAGCTCAGAGGTGAGGCCTAAAAAGAATTTATTGGTGCATAATTTATTGAGCAAAAATTTCTCTTCAAAATCATACAAATTAATGTTTTTATTTATTTACTAACCTTGCCACAATAACGCTAATGTGTATACAGTAAACTCTGGAAAATTATATGAACATAGGCACAAACACTAAATACTTATACATAGGTTCATTTAATTCCTTACCCATGGCACCAACACTTGACATTGTGAGGAACTTCAAAAGTCCAGCCTTATGCTTTTTCCATAAATGACCAAGAGCCTTATATTCTGGGGTTCCACAGCATCCATAATACACATTAAAGGCAAGAGTGTCACTATGCTCATAGAAGCAATCCTGAAAAAAAAAAAGTTTAAAACCCATCAAGGATTATGAGAAACATCTCCAACATTTCAAGGCTGATCCTTTATCCTACCGATGTTCAGTTATTAATGTGATGTTCTAAGTAGTAAAAGAGCATAAACTTTGAAGATCATTATGATTCCCTTACAGTACAATTAAGTGTTGTAAAAGTACGTTGGTTGGATCATTATTCTTTGAGTGTCTGGCTGTGTCTCATGTTAGGGATAAAGCAAGGATACAGAATCCTAATAAAATAAAATCAATAAAATAAATGATAGGAGAATTGTGTAGAAAATGTGGAATGTGATAAAAAAGAACTAAGACATCAAGTAGAAATGATTTTCATACACTTCTTAATAACTTGAATTTGCACATGCAGTTGGCAGTACCTCTGCATCCTTCTAAATTATGTAAATTAATCAAAACAATAATGTAGATGCAGTTTAATTCTGTAACTTACTATGAGACTTCCAGAATGTGGATTTATCACTCCATCATTGGTTGTTCCATTCACCAATTTCACATTACCACACTCAGATACATCTTGGGGTAGACCTACAGCTGATGAATAACTGGCTCCAAGGAGATGGAATACCTGTTGGGATATTCAATTCCATAAGTATACACTACACCAAAATCAGCAAATGCTAACACACACACAGTACAGTATATACCACCCAATTTTGTCCTTAACTTTTCATCTTCCATCTTTGCCTATAAATCCTCCTGTCTAAGTATCTTATAAAAATCTATATCATTGAAAAATAAACACAAACATAAACATGTCAAGTTATCATTAATATTTAACCTTAGAATCAGGAGAAAAAAATGACGAGTCATGGGCAGCAGAATAAGGTACAGCTACACCCTGAGCTCCTCCCCTGAGAACCAGAGCCAAGGTGAACTTTCTATCACTCATCCACTTGCGTGCAGCAGACACCTCAGATGGCGGAGAATTTTCTTCATCTGAATCTAGAACACATAATATATTATATATAAAATAATAAAAGAATAATTCAAATGTAATTTTCTTTTTAATGCAAGAATGCTAGTTTAAGCCCCAATAACAATTCAATTGGTGTGTATATGGGTGAGAAGATAAAAGGTGAAAAAGGAGTAGAGGTAATAATGAAAAGAGAAAAATTAAGGGACAAGAGAAAATTGTCTTACACTGTACGTACAGTTCTACCTCGGTTCAGAGCAGCCCAATTCTGCGCTGCTTTGTTATAGTGCTCTTGGTCCAGGAGAGAATTTTTTATCCCACTACTGACACCCACCATCTGGTAGTTCACATTTATGTACAACTTACATACTGTAAGCTTAATATACATACAAGATTCAATTCATTTACATAAGACAAATAAAAATTGAAAAATAAAACATATGAATCCTGTAATTAACGGGCATAAAACCACGCACCGTTTATTTACATTCGGCATCTGGGATGCATGTTTTAATTGTTAAAACATCTTTATTGCAATAAACTGTTGTAGATCTACATTTAATTATCATAGGTCGAAGAAAAACAGTTGATAGTGACAAATTAGAGGCTATAGACATCAGGGGTTCATTTGTGAATGGCAGAGCAACAGCCAGTTGCCATAGAAATAACACCTCTTATTAAAATCTCAATTGTTACCAATTGGGCCGCCTCGTGGTGTACAGCATCCACGCCGTAGCCCGCTCAGTTGGTGTTTGGCCGTCGTTGGTGTTAGTGATCGCGCTGTGTACTGAAAATTTTTTTGTTTCTAATTCCTTTTAAAATGACTGGCAAGCGTAAAAATGAGAGTTCTGGTGGTGCTTAGAAGAAAAGAGACAGTCAATTACTTTTGAGATGAAAATTAATATAATAATGCAATACGAAAATGGAAAAACGGTAGCAACCATTTCACGCGACCTTGGCTTCTCTCACTCGACGATATCAACAATTTTGAAGGACAATGCAAAGGCATTTGCTACTATTAATAAGGGGATACAAATGTTTGAAGAAATGGATCAAAATGTTGAGCCTTTTGCAAAAGTTGACAGACAGATCCAAGATGCACTTGCTTGCTACAGGGAGATTTACAATGAAAAGAAAAGGCAAACTATGCAGTCTAAATTGGACATATATTTTAAGAAGTCCCCCACTGCTGTCTTCTCATGCCCCACCACTGCTGCCTCTTCACTCCTTGAAGATAATCCAATACCTTCAACAAGCAAGTATGTTAGCCTGTCTGAAGAAAGCAAAATTGTTAACCCACCCAGCCTTGTCTCCTCCTCTGCTTCATCCAATTAATGTAGTCTCCATGTTTCATTAAAAAATTATTGAGGTCGCGTGTGCCTTCAGCTGACTACATTAAAGGTAAGTGCACAGTAACACTTTATTCATTTTTCATTATTGATTACTTTTACTGTACCGTATTTCATTTTAGATTTTCTATGTATTATTTTTGCATTTTCGACTTACAACCTGGTTGTCAGTCCGGAACCCTGTCGTAAGTCGAGGACTGGCTGTATTTTCGTTATATTGCCGTTCATGAAATTTGCCTAGGTATGTCTCCCTCCAAAGTTAAGACACTGCCTGCATTTCATGCTTTGACCAGCTCAGATACAACCTCATTTCTGTCCGGGAAGTGGTCCATAAAACCAGTGTTTTTTCCTACCCTGAGCTGACTGACGAATAGACCGCTGGAAGTATCTGCTGAAGATGTGATGTCTATAGAAAGTCTTGTTGTGTCACTCTACTCATCAACTTGCCCCTTCAGCAATGTCAATCAAGCATGTAATTTTGAATATCTTCCCCCAGCTAAGGCCGCTCTGATAAAGCACGTTAAAAAGAGTAACTTATCGGGCAGCTTAGGTGTGGAGCCAGTCTCTAGTTACAACGCAGGAATTGCCTAGTCCTAGCTCATGGGGATGGACAGAGACAGAATCTGGGTGGGAGCCTTACTGGACCCCTTTACCTCGAGCTCCAAAGGTTTTAGATGAGATTACTCGGTATGAGTGTGGAATCAGCTGCACGGGTAAATGCTCCTGCAAGTGTGGTGGTACTTGTTATGGATGCTGTAACTACCTCCACCAATGCTCCTAAAGACCCAGTAATCACGTAAGAATGTATGTTTTAGCTTATTCGCCATTTTTACACAAAGTTGTAAGAAGATTGAATTTAGGTGTTCCTAGTGTTAATAATTAAATTACAGGGGGTCCCTGACTTACGAACGTCCGACTTTCGAACGCATACCGATACGAACGGGGTTAAACTTGACATTTACAGTATTTTATTTACCTGATGACTTAATTTTAAATTTTAATTTACTGTATTTTGTCATTCTATTTCTTCTTTTCTCTTAAATTAAGTGATTTTAGATGTACAGTCAACCCTCGCTTTACGCGGTCCCACTTTACGCGTTTCCACGTTTACGCGGTACCCTGCCGAACACGGAATGCTCACTTTCCGCGGTGTGTGTACCCCTTTATGCGGAGAGCGGCGCGAGCAGGGTGCGCACAAGGTCGCCCAGTCATCAAAACATTACCGAGTTCTTCACCCGCCACCCACCACAGCCGGCTCAAGTCAGTGATAGTGATAATGATAGTGAGGATATGGACTTTGAGGGGTTTGACAAAGAGGCCCTGCAGGCCTCTGTGGTGGATAGTGATACAATTGATACAAGTGATACAGGTGAGGGCCAATAATCTGCCCTCTGACTCGGAACCAACCCCCCATCCCCGTGTGCCCAGCCATCTTTTCTACTAATGTAAGTGTTAAAAAACCTAATATTATTGATATTTCTCTTAATGATTAATTGTGTGTGCATACCATCATAAAATTTAGAAGTTATTTTTACTACAACATAGGTATTGTGTCTGAAAAAGTGGAGTTTGGGGGTCGGCCCAGTCTCTATTTCAATTAATCCCATATGTTATGTTGTTCACTTTACGTGTTTCTCACTTTACGCGGGCCGCCGTGGGTTCAATTGACCGCGTAAAGTGAGGGTTCACTGTATATAAGGAATTAGGCTACAATATAGTGAGATTTTTAAGTGCTCTGTAAGTACAGTATGCACATATTATTATTATTATTATGTATTGTTATATTTTTGCTGGGCTAATCCTATAAAAAACAACAAAAAAACATAGCATGTGTTCAGACTTACATACAAATCCGACTTAAGAACGCCCTCAGAAGCAGAACCCGTTCATAACCCAGGGACCCCCTCCCTGTATTGTTATAAACAGGATTTTTTGTACTATCATGATATGTTCAGAGATGATAGCAGCGTAAGCATATAATTCATGAATTAAACAAATAAACCTTTCCATTTGACTATGTCATTGTACAAGTATTTGTTATTCCATTGTTAAAGAAGAAAAAATAGTGACTGGCATTTTTGTAAATATTTGGGTAAAATAACCTTGACTGCTACCACGACATTAAATAAACTCTAACTAAATTCCATCTAACAGTCCTATCTAGTAACTACTAAGTACAGTATGTGTAATTTTGAACTGTGGCACTTGTGAAATGCTAATTACCCTCTGTATAGTTATTTTAGCCCAAAATTAACAGTGACCTTGATATTTTCCAGTGACCTTGACCTCATAAGTTCATGAAACCCATTCCAATCGCTTTTTCGTCATCTAAGTTATCAATCTCCATTAAAAAAGAAAATCAAACCTGTACTTGCTGAACTATACACCAGTCCAGTGATGCCCCTGCGTGGTGGTGGCCATTCTGTGTTAATGAGGTCTAAAGTTTGTGCCCTGTATCAGGTGTTGAAGGAGACACACCAGGGATCATCTGGGCCAAGTTTGGTGATTTCTTTCCAAAGTTCGCGCAAAAGCCCATTACGGGGTGGACTATAACTATTCCTTAGTTACGAGGAGATGGATTCAACTAACCCAGAAATGATCTGTGTAATATCTTTTACCTCTCACCAACCTCATTTCTCCACTGCCTTTCATTCAATGGGTTTATGCCATTATTGCAAGACATAAATGTGTTCATTTAGTTAAATAAATAGTGCTGTACTGTAACTGTATTCACCATGACAACTTGAGCAACACCTATCCTTATATATACTGTATACTGTAATGGTATAATGACCCCTATTAGTGTACATTAATGTACATTAATGTAGCATTTTCCTTAGTGGGTTACTGTATAGAGCGATAGTATTTTCCTTTATCAAACATTTCTGCCTGAGGAAAAATTCTGAAAGCTACATAATCTTATAGGTTTCTACCCATTATCATTTATACTAACACAGTATAATAAGCTACGGGATAATGTGTGAGGAGTAACTTAGATGATGGTCAAAGAGAAATATACTTTGTGCCCCAAGTATTGTATGCATGAAATAAAGAAAAGATGGGCATGGGTTGGGTTTGTGCAATGGATAATGTTTAAACACTTCATGACATGCATGTAAGGCGATACACCAATATTGTAAGAAAAATGAGGCACATTACAATAAATAGCATCAACACTGTATAGAAAATTCCAATAGATTTCAAAACAATATAAATTTTACCTCTCTTATAACACTTTTCAACTAACCTTTTACAATGAATTTCGAATCTAATTCTATGTTGTTGCTGTTCTTAGTGTTTATTTTTGTTTCACATTTAGCTCCATTTTGTCTGTGTTTTGGAACATCTGCTGTGCCATCAGGGTTCAATGTTGGCACCAGATGAACCTTGGCATTCTGCAATATTTTATTGACTGCTGCATCATGATTGTAACGTGAGAGCAAGTATCTGAAATGGACAAGAAATGATTATCAAAGGAGAGATAATTTGAACACATTATTAATACAGTACAGCCATTATAAAAAAAGGGGGAGGGGGGTGTAGTACTGTAGTGAACCATTCAAGTAAAGTGTAATACTGAACAGAGTGGCCAGAGACAAGAAAATATACGAATGTTTCTTCTATTTTTTTGTAGGTAGTAGGCAGTTATCAAACAGGGAGGTACTACTGCCTGGTAGACCCTGCTGTGATATGGCATCACAAAAATTGTGACCAAGTCCCAGGTTGCTGATCTGACTTTCTGCCTCATTTACACACAATTGCAGGGTCTCAATTGTTTATCTTACTATTGACAACACAACATACATACAGTACATTGTTTCTCACTTTTGATTAGTTTTTTTCCTTTATTATTATTATTATTATTATTATTATTACAGTGTTGTAATTATTATTATTGGCATCATTATTATTTTATGTTACTTTTAATTGTGTACTTTTTATTATAAATTATATTTACTATGAATTAGTATTATTATTGCATTTTGCCAACCACCCCCCCCTCCAAAGTGAGTCAGTAACCTGTGCCCGGGTTGGCTAATCCCCGTAAAAAAAGTTGTTCTACTATGGTACTCCCTTTACACCCGTGGCTTCACACAAATCAGTATCATGTCCACAAAAGAATACACCTTTGATCTATGCACATCAAACTACCTGGATCCCTCTTTTGTACCTAACCCAAGGAATGACCGAGGGATCACTGTACCACCCCCAATTATTCATGGGTAAAAGAAAACATATACCTAACAAGTAGCCGAGTATTTATACTTACTTCATTAACTGAAGAACTAATTCTTTACCACCTCTGTCACTTTCTCCTAGGCCTCCAATGACAGCAACTGAAGGGCGACTTATTTGTTGTGTTTCTGTTCCTACATCAATTTCCACAGCTAAAATCTGACGACTCATAGCGCTACGTCCAATGCTGTAAAATAACGTAAAAATCCATCTTATTCTACTGCTAAATACTTAACAAAATAATACTATTCTTTACATCTTCAATCATGCAGAGTGGCAACTCAGGGAGAAACAGCTTATGTATGACTTTGTAAGTGTGGGCCTCGATCAAGAAAGACCAGCCCTGTACACACCTTAGCATACAGGTATAACATGACAAAAACACTACTTTTCCAAACAAGCAAACTTAAAAGCTCATGGACACTCTAAACACTGTAAATTGTCATATATGGCTGAAACTTGATAATTTGTTTATTTCAACTTAAAATCTCAATTCTCCATTTAACTTGTAAAGTATACCCAATACTCCATATTTTACGGCATATACAGTAAGACGCACGACCATATAAGATGCACCCCTCATTTTAATAGGGATTATCGAGGAAAAAACTTTTGCGTGTACAGCATTTTCCTCCTGTAGCCTTAGTTTTCAAAAAATAATATAAACAGTACCAGTAAATGTGAGGAATAAATGAAAAGAATACCAATACATAAGTTACAACTCCAATAGCCGGAATTGAAATTTTCTTAGAAAATTGTTCCCAAAGCCGGAATTTTCCGGAAAATTACAGCTTTGATAAAGATTTTCCAAGTTGCACATTTTCTGGAAATTGAGAAAAATTTTCCGGTACCTGGAAAATTCCGGGGATGGGGGATATTTTTCTGGGTTCGAGAGATGATATAATGTCCAATTTCTAGAGCTTCCGAGAAAATTTTTCCATAACCCCGAAAATTCCAGGGATGAGGGATTTTTTCCGGCTTTGAGAGAGGTGTCTAACTTGGCTACAATGTCACCAGCGATGTTAAAAGATGTAAATGTGAAAAGAAAGTTACTGTGAATGAATTACCCTGTTTTATTTCACATCTTGGTTGAGTTCAAAACTCTCATGTTTCGAAACTAAAGATTCATTTTACGCGAGCTGTTGTGAGAGGCAGGTCGCATCACTTAGCCGGGACCTGCCTCGCCACTGGCACTCGTCTACTCTGTAAGTACGATAAATAATTAATATATCTGTATATATAGTGTTTAACAAAGAAGTGGCATACTTAATTGGTGTTACAAGTAAACAGTTTAGTTAGTGCGAAACTAAGGACGTGTTCAATCCTTCAGCTTTATAGACATGGAGTGGCGGAGGTGCTGCAGTGTGGTGACCTGTGCGGCCTGCCGCTAGCGACCTAGCTAGCTGGTATAGCGTGTTACCTCGCTAGGATTTGTGAGAGCCAATAGCCCATTACAGCAACTTCACAACATAGTGCTCACACCCTCGATGATGGGTGCAGCCTCCAGTGTAACCCTGTGTACATGAAGTCCAGTTGGCCCGAGTCGCCAAGTGACACCAGGCCCCACCTCTACCAGCCATAATTCATATTTTGTATGGTCTCCTTAATATGCTACCACTATTCTTAATTTATTATTGTTAAAAAATTTTTGTTTTACACTCGTTTTTATTTTTCCTTCGGTACAATCATTTATAGTTGAGAGATAAATGCAGAGTTAATCATAACTGGTGTGAAGATCTAACAACCTTTAACAAATACCTTGACAGTTACCTGTAACTCTTCATTTGTATCAGGCATTTGTAGATTTAAAAATAAATGTTGCAGGTATGACATTAATAGATTGTAATGCTTGTAAGAGTTCAGTAATGGTTTCTACTTAGCTACCTCTGAAGAATTGGGTGTCTGCCGTACGGATGTCAATCGTTTCAAGTTATCATCTTCAGTACAGTAGTTATAAATCCAGCTTTTATATCTAATTATTATTTTTTTAATTAATTAAAAATGATAATAATGTGTTTAAGTAAGCAATAACTTATTTTTAATTCTGGAGTTGGGTTAGGTAGAATTAAGGCTACTGGATACAGCACCTAGGGAATTCATTCGCCTACAGGAGACAGCAACTTCACAAAAATGACATAGGCTTTTCTTTCTTTTTTCAGACAAAAAGCACATCTTATATGCCGTAAAATATGGCAATTTGATATACTGTATACACATACCTGTACAATTTAGATATCCTTGAGAAGTTAGAAATGAGTTTGCGAATGTTGTCCTCTGTTCCGTAGTACGAATGGTACATTAAAACGGAGTCCTTCACTGAATCTAGTGTAACACTGGCTGGCATCTCTTTATGAGCTTCAATCACAAAGTCCATAGTTTTGTTTTCAGTATCACTGGACGTTACCTAAAAATATAGAAGTACGATACAATAATATTTAAGTATTTTTTTATGAATACAATAGATTCAGATAAACACTATCATTACATCATCTTCTAGTACCAATGAATATAACATACTGATGAGTTAATATAATTATTCTGTATACCCTGTACTGACAATTCAAGAGCTCAACGGTTAATGAAGTCATTAAAGACAACTTCTGCCACTCTTTGTAGCTCAGTATATGCCAGAAAACATTCTCTGCTGTATTTGTGTTTCGTATATAATTACAGTACCTGTACACATTATCTCAAGTCCTAATACTCAGAGCAAAAAGGTTTCAAGCCAAGTCCTCGTCAAACACTAAGTCACTATAATTCTCAGCATTTTCCAAAGTGAAAAACAACAACAAACCCCAGTCCTGTCTTCATATTGTAAAGCTATGCAGCAGCAATTCATATATTTTTGTGTATACTTAACTCTTTAGAGAAACCAAGACTTGATTTTTTTTAATATAGTACAATACAGAATTTAAATATAATATCTCTACCAAAGTCTTACTCAATGCAAATCTCTAACATACTTTAACTTCAAAATCTAACACAGTACAGTAGTAAAGAAGGGTATTAGCACCTCGAGTGTGTGAGAGCCCGTGGGGAGAAGCTTCCTGAAGGTGGCCTGGTCACTCAGCTCCACCACCTTCCCATCCACTTGAACTTTGGCCGAGGACAATGGATGGCCCTGTTCATCTGTCACCTGTCCTGCCACACCTATTAATCAAAGTTTTGCTGTTAACTCTTAGGTTTTATAATAGCAGATAGTTCTAGAGGTTTACAGCACCCACCATGGCTGTATTTTTTCTCCCACTGATGGTTTTATTAGTTGGACACAACCACATCACAGCCTATTTAGTAATTTGGTGCACATGCTCAATTATTTACTAATTACCATCCCCATTTTCTGTCTTTTGTTGCCTCTACCCTTAATTTCTGCCTTTCCAATCTTTTTACTTCTATTGCCGATTTTTATTTAAACATCCCATGAGCTGACATCACCCTCACACTGTACTGCAAGCTTGGTATATGCTCATCCATGAGGCGCTGCTTCCTCACCAATAAATATTATGATTTTTGTAAAGATAAATACAACTATATTTTGGGTAAGTACAGTATAATATATGCTTTGTGTTAAGGTTCTTGTCACTGCAGCCACTACAGTAAAACCCCCTTAAACTGGACTCTTTTAATCCAGATTTCTGCTTCATCCAGACTGGCAAACCACTCTGGACTAATAACTGTCAATCCAGATCGAGTCCAAATTAACATGAAATAGTCCGGTCTACCCACGTGGTGGCAAATAAACACCTTCAGCATGCTGTTGGCTGTACCACTTGTACACTGCCTGGTTCAAATCACCAAATGAGGCATTTTGCACACAAAGCACTTTTTGATAACCAATAGCAGCTTCATTTTCCTGCAAGACTTTCTTCACTTTATTTTTTTTCTGAATAAGATCGTAGAAGGCTGATTTTTTCAAGTGGTATTTCTCCATCAAAACTTTTGCACACAAACCTTTCTCATGATTTTCCAGAACTGCTAGCTTGTCCTTCAAGCTAAACTTCTTCCTGGCCCTCTTCTGACTTCCTTTTGAAGTTGTCTTGCCTTTAGAAGCTATGGGAATTAGTCCACAGGAGTTAGGTGATGCACACAAGTGGGCTGTAGCAGCACGAATGGCTTGTAAAGAAAGTGGCTGGGGCTGGCGTTCATGTGCGCCAGACGGCAATCTTGATTTTTCTCGGTTAATCCAGACTTTTCCCGGATTAAATAAACCCCTCCGGAAATCACTTTATCCGGAAAAATCGCCTAACAGGAACTGGATTCCCCCCAATTAGTCCAGATAAGGAGGGTTTTACTGTACTTCATAATGTTCCCACCATCACATGTGATATATTGTTATTTGTAGAGGTATTTGTGTGATCATACCATACCAGAGACCAACTGTAGAGTCAAAATTTTTTGGGCTGGAGCACATCTCGTCTTTTAACATGGGATCCTATGATAAAATGGGTTCCAGTGTACAAGAATTCTCCCAATGAGCACTTTTTTAGGAGCACAGATCCTTTGTTAAGCAGCATATTTTTCTCATAAGCAATGTTATAATACATATGATGAAAAAAAGTGTTGAGAAACTGGGAAGAATCACCTGCTTTCCTTTTGTAATAGCTGTACTTATGAATTGGATTTTCATGAAAACCTAACTGGTTCAAAAAATATTTACACTATATTAGAAGATACAACTAACTTACTATGTGTACAATCAATCACTTATTGTAATGATCAAGCATGTATGTACTTTAATAGTTGTAAAAAAATTTGCAACTTTTTTTTCCTTCTCACAATATACAGTACATACCTCTTCCCTAATTGTTAACATATATACAGTAAACCCTCGATAACCAGGCATTTGATAACTCGGCAAGGATATGGTCTCGGAATGTATCACAGTATACTGTACAGTAACTCAGGAAATGCCAAGATATATAAAATAATGTGGGGAAAATCTTAGCATATCTGGTCACCTACCATGCCTCTGTGTCAACTACCATACTTGTGTCACCTACCATGATGCACCATTCTTTACCTCCAGTGCTGGTAAGTGTTACCTTTTTTACATTTAGTAATTCTATGTACACAGATATTGGTCGATAATTATTATTATTATTTATTTTTTGGAGGAGAGGGAGTGGGTGCCTCGATAATTCAGAATTTAGGATAACTCGGCAAGGCCAGAGCCCCATACTTGCTGAGTTATTGAGGATTTACTGTATGTACAGTCAGATCAAAAATTACTTTTACTCCTTTGGTGTCAAACAATATGACACTCGCAAAAAAAATTCCATACAAAGCACTTGCATATGGTTTCATATTGGTAGCCCTGCTGGCCTTATATGGGAATATGTGGAGCTACCAGTGACACTATTCCTGTTACTTGTCATAATGTAACTTCCTTTTCTGTGTAATCCTAAAATGGTTAAATTTGCTATAAATCAAAGAACACAATTCAAATGTTAACAAGTACAGTCCACTAATAGCATATCTTGAGAACATTGGGGACTTGTTAAATTATTATTCTAAGGAACTCATATTTAAATACATTTTTATAATTACAGTTGGGTCTCCATTTACACGGTCAATTGAACCCGAGTTAAACCGCGTTAAAAGAGAAACGCGTAAACGAAATAACACAACATATGGGATTAATTGAAATAGAGACTGGGCTGACCCCCAAACTCCACTTTTTCCAACACAATACGCACCTTGTAGTCAAAATAACATCTTAATTTTATGATGGTATGCACACACAATTAATACTTAAGAGAAATATCAAACTCGAGAATTTTGTATAATGGATACCCAACCCGTATGATTACAGTGGCATAAAATGAAACAAAATAGTCAAAATGAGATTTCAACAAGTTGACAACATAATTGTGTATCTTTAACTGCTAGGCAGTTTTCAAGACTTATTTTGGTTCATTTAAAACTGAAAAATCAAAGAAATGGAAAATATTAAATCTATAGTTTCTTTTGATAGATCTTCAGTCACTTCTTGGCTAAGGAGATGATTCAAACATAAACTAATATTTTGTATATACACCTCCAGCCTCCATCACGTTGGTTTGTCAGCAGTGGCACCAATGTCTTCATTAAACCTTATCCACAGAATTACCATGGACTTAAGACACTCCTACCAGCCTAACAATCTTACAATTCCCAAGGCCAAGTAAGTGAAGAGTATGAACATTGTTCATAGAGGACAGACGGTAGTATGGTCGTGAAGGAAACACGACTAAGAGGTGGAAAGTAATTACTGCTGCTCTGGTTGTTTCGGAAGTCTTCATAGTCAGTGTCAGGGTCATGACAGGAGTTTACGTAATTTTTATTGCTGTTCGCATGAATAACAAAATTTATTACAAAGACAAACTTCACTCCTGACAATAAATATACTTTGTGAAGAAAAAATTTAATTTTTTAACTTTTAAAAGTGGAATTTGCTCTATTTGGAGTGGAATCCTTTATACTATGTTTTGAATATTTTGAAAAACAAGGATAAGATTAATGGCACTATAATTACACTTACAAGCCATATCGAGATGACAAGAGAGGTAGTGTTCATTTTGAAATTCATTGCATCCAGGGGTAAAAGAGAATTTATGGTCTGTACAGCATTAAACTACAAAAGAAAATACTGTACTGTACAGTAGAATCGGGATATATCGAGAGATAGGGTCCAACGATGTTCGCTATATCATTAACTCGAATACGCTGGATAGCTTCAAACATAGGTTGGATGGATTTACTGTATTTAAAAAAAAAAAAAAAAAAATTGTGTTGCCTCATCTAGAAATTAAAACATGTACGGGTGAATGGTACTTAATAAACCTGACATTTGAGGCATTTAAAATAAAAATAAGACAACAATACAAAAAGAGTTGTATGGAAATTCTGAAGATCAGCTGTGACAGAATGAAATATAAATGTGTAACACATGCCATGAATGTTAGGACAGGGACATGATACTGGATGGGTCAACCTTTGTTGATCATTTCAACGTCTGACAGTTAATAAGGCTTCACCGCCTTGCTGCATGATGCACACCCACACAACACCCAACACATAATTTAAATTCTAAGGTTATATATAAATTTGTAATTAAATGTTCAGCTTTGTTGCTAAAAAACAAAGAAGTAAAGGTATACCATCAACTTCTCTTTATAAAAAATGTGGTCTCAGGAATAACTTCACTCTTGAAAGTGCACACTTACCATAAAGTACAGTGTGTGTCAAAACACTCTATGGAATAATTGTCCTTTTGTATTATTAAACTTACAAATGTTAGTAACAAAAAAATTTTCTATGTTCTCAACATTCACCTTACCACAAAAATATCTATATAATAACATAACTCCAGTGACAAAACCAATCTCCTTCAATAATAGGTTTCTGAAATCAAACCTGATAAAAGAATTGCAGAATTGTTTATTCTAAGCTAAGCTAAATTCCCTAAACATTACATTTTAATTCACCAATAAAAAAGAGAACATGATTAAAAAGCAAGGAAGCAGTAGTAATGACAATAATCTAATTATTTATTGAATTTAGTAACAAAAGAAAGTACAGGGTACTTTAAGTCTAAAATGTATTAATATACAATAATAATAATAAAAAAAATCTTCATTTCTAAATAAACAACAAAGAAACTTACAAAACTTTATATACTTCAACAACAAAAGGAGAGCAGCAACATACAGACTTCACGGCCAAAAACAAATAATAATAACAGGATACTAAAGAAAGTGTACTGGCCAATACATTACTAAAGGATAATATTATGTGCAATGATATGAACACTATACAAGATATTACCCAATGGAGAATTTTTATCATGACCAGTACTGTACCATTATATCATATTAAGCACTGATATTGGCTTGAGTATTACGTTTGAAGCAATATTGAATGATGTTAGTGAAAACGCTATAGTTAAATGCTTAAAATATTGAAACCAAGCACCTCGCGAAATACTGAAAAGAATATTTTCATCCAAGTATTCCTATACTGTACTAAGCAATACCATTACACCATGTTAGGCACTGACAGATGGCATAAGATATAAGTTTAAAGCTTTCAGTAAAATGAGATACAAATACCACAAGAACACCAAAGGAGAGATTGGTTTTGTTACTGAGTAAATTATAATGAAGCCTTGCATTAAAATGTAGAGATCATACAAGATATAGAAGACAGTATGAAGGTATTCCTAAGACCAACACCAAAGCAAAACTTAAGATAACAAACATTAAAATCACATAACAGGCAGTACTGTACTTACTGTCCAAATGGCTCAATGTATTATGTTGCTATTCTTAACAAATAATTTTAGCAAATTATCTTTCTTAACAAATGTAGAGCCCATTGAGAGATCAGACAAATTCCATTGTCAAATCTATCAAACGAGACTCCCCTTACCTAGTGAAAATATTTGAAGCATGACAATTTGTCTTGATCTGAGTTACAGACTTGAGAAATACCACTCTGAGGTGCGGAAGTACAACATTCTGCTAATCCAGGATACACTGTATATAAGTTCCGACATGTAAAGATTTTAAGGAATGAAAATTTCAACAGAAAATTCATGTGCTCTCCCATATGCCCTCCTGCATTATTGGGGCAGATACAGGAATATAAAAAAATAAGGGGGGTCCAAGAGCACAGCAAGCATTTTGAGGTCACTTGATATTAGGAGATATTCTGAGGTCAATAGTAATTACTTTTTACTGTACAAAAATGATTGAGTACAATACCGTACTGCATTAAAAAAGTATTGGAAATTTTCTGATGGAAGGGGGTGGTGTTCAGACCTCCAGGACCCCCCTGGATCTGTCCATTATTATGATGCCACTATTGAGTGTAGCCCATTAAAATACTAACTGGAAATCTCTATGGAACTTGGAAAGCAATGAGATATCCCTGCAACTGTACAGCGCTATAAATATTCTTGTAAATTTATTATTTTTAGTTGTTTCGATGATATTTTCTGTACTGAAACAAAGAGGCAAAGTGCCCATACACCACACAGATGACTACAGTATTTCACCCGAGAACACACATTACTTACCATATATCAATGGTTGCCAACGGTTTGTCAGTAAGAGATGGCCTGGCTCTGTGCATGAGGCAGTTTGGGAAAATTTGTGACAGAAATTGTTATGGTAAGACTTGAAGTTAGGGTGATGCCAACAACCTTAATGCTGTGTTGATGGAATGACGGTGCTGTCAAAATTAATACTGACCTATACAAATTATGACTGTTACTATACTTTATCCTGAATACTGTACTGTGTTTGTTTTAGTAAAGGAAATAAATTTACCTGCATCCCACTCACCTAGGTCTTACCATTACTGTACACTTTAATATAATACTGTACTGTACACCATCACAGGACAATATGATGCTTACTTATTAATTGTTGTCTGGAATCCTAAGGTTATATCTGAAGTATACAAGTTATTAGTATACCTTTCTAAGCTCCACTACTGATATGAAAAAACAAAACAAAAATATGTGGATAAAATTCTTAGAAGTTACTTTTCACTAAATCTGCAAAATACTGAAAAGATAAGTAAAAGAATATTTATTCTTAGATGGTGTGTATTACTGGGTGAATGAGGTGCATAACTTATTGTCAAATCTACTGAGTACATTCTTCCCATAATTCAAGGAAACTTAAGTAGAAACAATCTATAAATACATAAGTAATTACCGGGTAACTTACTAACTCATCTAATTACATACTGTATGAACAATAAATAAATAAATACATAGCCTACTAAATCATCCAGCGATAATACCTACTGTGTGCTTTTATCAAAAGTAAAGTCAGGGAGTGATGTCAATAAATAACACTGAGATTAGAGACCAAAGGTTCTATGTGGATTAGCGACTCACTGACTCTTTTTGGTCATACGTACAATAAACTTAATACAGTACATGTCTCAAACCAGCATACTATATTCTACACTGTTTAGATATATGTTCATGGATAATGTCAAACTTTTGTTCCATTCATTTGTCAAGTCTTCAGCAAAGTATGAAGAATGGTTGCCTGTTATTGATCTACATTCTTGTTCTCATTTTAAAGTTTATTAAGAAAAATTTATCAGAAACAGAGTATTACTTGTACATGATACAGTACTTTGTTTGAAGAGCTACTACAAGGTGAAAACGGTCGAGGAGTAAAGAAAGAACAGATGCCATTACAACTTTCACTTAGTATATCATTTTCTACACCGCTGTTATTGTTCTTACTTTCAAGTGTATTATTTTCTTTAAAAGGTAAAATGTTTTGTCAAAAATTAAAGAACACAGTTTATATATGCCTATGATTCCAACACTTATAATACTGTTTCAAACATTTCAGTTATTGAGAAAATACTATTCTGAGGAGTCACTACCAGTTATAAATGGGAAGGGGATGGGTTTGGATTTCCTCTCACCTGTATTTTCAATACAGTACCTGGATTACTGCCTGTCTTATCATTGTACATCTCATTTTCATTTCCTATAGATGAATGTCTAGTTGGTATTTATGTGATGGGGATACTAATAGAGTGGTTCTCTTCAGAAAGGTCTGGCTGTGCAATGTTAAGTCATTGCTTCCCATGTCTTCAGTGCTGACAATACTGTTCTTCTCCGGGACTTACTGCGAGTTATAAATGGAGGTATCGGTATGGGCTCACTTAACTCTGTTTTCAGTTGTCTTATTATTGCCATTTTCACTCTCTACCTTATTTCTATTTCCTACAGAGGAGTGCCCAGCAGTAATACATGTGAGGGGAATACTTATAAAATGACTCTCCTCATTGGGTGTCTGGGCATAAAGTGTTAATTACCTTGGTGACTTCCACTACTACTACTGCCACTACCACCACCACCACCACTATCACTACTACTACCCTCACCACCACCACCACCACTACTACTACTACTACTACTACTACTACTACTACTACTACTCTCAGAACCATGGTCAGTTTTGGAACCATTATCACTTTTCTTTGGAGAATTTTTGCCAATCAAAAATGAGAGAGGTATAGATATAGACTCTTTCCCTCCTTTGTCTTCACCTCCCTGAAGAATGTCTTGAGTATCACTGTCTACCTTACTTTTATTTTCTATAGATGAAGGCCTGTTATGAATAAATGTAAGGGGGATGCTAATAGAGTGACTCTCTTCATTGTCTGTTTGGGTTGGCCCTGTTAAGTTACCTTGATGAGCAGCATGTATGAAAGACAGGAGGGAATCTTTATTTTGTCTCCAGAAGGTGTTTAACTCTCTTTCAGCAGGGTAGTTGCAACAGCTTACATGTGCAGCAATCTGGAACAATAAATGTCAAAGATTATAATCAATGCATAAATATGGAAGAATGTATGTGGCTAGTTTGCAAAGTACGATGTTGTATGGCAGTGAAACATGGGCAGTTAAAGAGGATGACATATGTTGTATGGCAGTGAAACATGGGCAGTTAAAGAGGATGACACATGTTGTATGGCAGTGAAACATGGGCAGTTAAAGAGGATGACAGATGCAGGCTTGAGTTAGTTGAAAGGAGAATGGTGAAGTGGATGTGCAATATGAATATGAAAGACAGGAAACTCTGATATGCTTTTAAGACCCAGTGCACACTTACAAAAGCTTTATATATCAGATAGAAACCAGGGACAAAATTCTTTATACAAGCAGGAGAATATGCCTTGTCATCATCAAATTCATTTACAGTAGAACCTCGATAAATCGGACTAATTGGGGCAGATCCTAGTCCGAAAAATGCAAAATCTGAAAAAAAGGCGAATATATGGAGGGAGGGAGGGAGGGGGGGGTAGAGTTAACACTGCTTATCTGAACTGTTTAAAGAAAAGTGGTTGTTGTTATGTTATTACTGCACTTCAACAACTAAGGTCTTTAAGTGTATAATAAGGTTATTAAAAGAATATTACATCAACAAAAATAAAATATGAAACAGAATTCTCTGGGTTGAAAATCAGACTTGATTCTAATTGTCAACAACTGTTTTCACCGAGATGATTGTTATTTACTGTAAAGTGTTATGTGTTAGTAACCACAGAAATTGTCTTATGAATAAAGAGAAAACTGTATACAGTACTGTACAGTACTGTAAAGATAAAAATAAGAACAAATAAGTGTAGGAATATATTGTATGTGTTTATCTGGGAGCAGCTGACAGAGGTGGGAGAGGGGGTTAACACAGGTGGGTGGCTCCCAACCCCAAAGATTTCTTTAACACTTCTTTATGCATTTTCAACATAATTCTCAAATACATGTACAATAATTTAGATTCATTTGGTGCCAGGTTGATAAATTATCCTAAGAGAATCATCTTTCCTAAAAATGAATCTCACTGAACACCAGAGTCATTTGTTTACAAAGAGCAAACAGCTGATTGGCTTACCACAACGTCTGTGTTCAACAATTAGTAGAGTACAGTCGTGTATACTATTGTAGTGCATTTATCATCACTTAATAAATACTAATGTAGTTCATTTATCATTACTTAATAATTAATATTGTATTGTACAACATTGTGTATCTGCATATACCCTGGTTTATTCATAAATCATTTGAGTCATCATATAACATTCAAAGGTACCAAATAATATTGTTAGGAAGGTATCTTCATATCAAATATTAAACAGTGTGATATTGTGACCCCTGTTGTGAGCTGGTCTGCTGAAAGCTCTCACAAAAATGCATCTTGAGTAAATAACCTTCTGATATAACCTTATCATTTAACTTTAAGTCATATTACAAATTACCGTATTTGCTGGCATAGAAGATGCATTTTTTAAATGTATCACAACTTACCCTACTTCTAATGAGCCTGTATTACGGATGGGAGGCCGAGCACCGCTGTCGGAGGTACCTAGCTAGGGAGTCTGGGACAAACAGTAGTCCACTAAGCACAAAAAGTTTTACTAATAATATTACTAATAATAAAATACTGAAAAACAAGCCAAATTATCACACTCTATTATCACAAACTTACGGCAAATTTGCCGAAGACGCAAATAATGGCTTACATTGGCTTAACGGCAGAGGGAAGCTCACAACATCTCACTGTACCTCCTTCCCCAGCATACGTAACCCACACCAGATACAAGTTTTACATTATTTAAGGACTGTATTACCTTTAAGAAACATTTGTTTATCATCTAAATGAAAAATATCCCTAGAAAGATTAAAGAAATGTTAACAGAAAGTTCAGCTGCCAGTCAGCCATTTGCAATGATTAGATGATGCCAAAACAATAGCGTTGGTGCTACACCCTGGTGGCAGATCGTGGCAACACAAAACATTACAGCCAAAAATACGAGTCTCACATCCTGTCGGTAATTCTCTTGACCAATATAAACAAGCCACACAGCTGCTCTGATCAGAGGTACAGTTGAAAATGCTTTCATAATAATCTTTAACTGCAATGTAAAAAAGTTAACATATAGTCTTAAAACTATTGAAGCTTACCATTAATATGTCTTTTAAATTACTATATGTGTATTCCAATAACGAATTCTTGTACACCCCTATAGCCTGTCCATGGAGGATGCCTGATGGAGTTTGCTTGCTCAGGACCAGGCATGGGCTTTCACTCTGGGGAAAACAAATTCATTAATAGTTACTACGAGAACAAAATTTCTTGCCACAATTCTCAAGACATACATATAGCATACTGTAAAAATCCTCCATCCCATATCCACATTTATACAATCTCAGATATTAAGATATATTCAATAATCTATAGATCACATTTTCTGAATATCTATGCCACAGTACAGTATTATAACAAGAAGTATAGTGGAGACAAAAGATGACACACAGTTTGTAATAATAAAGTAACTTATATGAAAAACAAGAAACAAAATGATACCGAAAGGAGAGGGAGGAAGAATGTTATAATGAGTAGCAACTGTAACTAATGCCGTTAAAGAAAATCCTTATGCATATATCGCCACGGACAGACAAATTGGTATACGGCATCATGACTGCATCCCCAAGCCCTTTTGGTCTGGTGGATAATGACTAGGAGGAGGTCAGCTAGGGTGACATGCTGGTACAGTCACTATAATGGAGCAAGAGGTGTGTAGGTTATAAAAGAATAATAACAAAACAATAATGTAATCATATTCTGTAGTAGAAATATTACCTCTAACATAGTTGGATGTGCCCTCGCATATGCTTCTGTCAAAAATTGGAAGACACCTTCATCTGGAGTAACAGGAGGGCTAACTGACGGATCATCATGTGGAAACCTATGGAAGATTGACCACAAAAATTGAACTTGTTTTAATTATAATTCCGGATAAAACCAAATGAAATACTGTACGTACTGTATTTAGAAATGACAAATGTGAGAATCTGAAATAGAAATGCTTTAAAAAGATTCTTTATTATTCTTTTGGTGAGGCACAGTATCTCCTCTTCATTCACCCACACATGCACTCAAGTCCTTTTTTGTTAAATCACTCACTCCCTTAAGGGCTTTCTTGTTTATTCAGTCATTCAAAGTATGTCTTCATTAAATCTCACTCACTCACTCATGCTATACTTATTCACACATTAATTCAACAGCACATTCATTCATTTATTCACAATTCAACATCTCTCTGGCTCACCCATTCTCTCACAAATCGAACATCTATTTTATTCAAGTCATTCACTCAAAATAATTGTTCAATAACTTACAAATGAACCCCATGTTTGTTCAGTCACTCACTCAATGCCAATCACTTGTTCAATCATTCACCCAACACATCTCTTCTTTTTTATTCGCTCCTCCACTGAAAATATGGTAGACATAGACAAGCAAAGGAAGCAACAAAAAGAGTAGAAGAGAGACTTGGGGACTGACTTACCTCATAAAGATTCCACCAGACTCGAGAGACAGTATGGCGTGAGGTTTGACCTGACTGACCATGTTCACCGTTGCTGCAGCAATGTCGTTGCTGATTTCGGGAGAAAATGAACCTCCAACTTCACTGTTAAGTTCGCTGATTTTGCTGTAACCACACATGCCTGGTGATAAAAATGCCATTAATAACTTACGGCATCAGATTTCTGGTCAGCTAAAAGTGTAAATTCTGCATCGGAGCTTTTGTGACTCGAGATAATTTGGCAAAATAACAAACGCCATCTTAATGAGGAAAGTCAAAGAATAAAAAAAAATTAAGAGGGGAGAATGGGAATAAATATATTCACTTACCCTTTTACCCCCCCCCCCCCACTCTCCCATTCACAGACACACATCAAAACCCATAGCCACACCAACAACCATGTATATATATATAAAGGCATAAAGTAATTATCATAGTAATAATAATAATGATAATAATAATTATTATTATTATTAAGCCAACAGTTAGAATTATATCACACCATAAACTGGCTTAAAGCTAAGAAAATTCTTACTGAGTCTGAACATCCAACCCTCCTCTCCCAGCTACCCTCCTTTCTTCAGTATTGACAACTGCATGTCCCACAAGTGTAAGTACGTAAAAGGAAGACCTGGGGAACCAGGGGTTAAAACCCCAGGGCTTGCTAACATGCAATTACTGCATGGGGATGACTTTTAGGGCAGATTGTGGGGGTCTGACAGCATCGGCGTTTAGGGCATTACAGAACGCGGAAGCATGAAGGCTGTTGCTGGTATTGTTCTGACTGCATAATCAAATTAAACAAAGCAATTGCAGATCATAAGGGAATGAGAAACCTAAGACTAAAATAGATGAAGCTGGATCCTTGTTGGTTGCCAAACTAGACCAAGTTGGGAAGAAATCCTCACTAATACTGGGAAAGTCGTTGATAGAATAGAGGGAGTTGTTAAGAAGTGCTATGCTCAGGCTGTAGCAGGGTGACAGAAGGTGACGGAGTGTAATGCAGGATCCGAACAGGTCCTTCAGTGGCTAGGGACTCTGAAGAAGTGTGTTGAAGAAATGGCAACTAGTAGACTGACTGAATGCAGAAGAACAGCAAAAAAAAAACTCCTGTGGTGCTTGAAGCACACTAGGGAGGATTCGATAAAGAAACAGGGATGGACATAAATGAGATATATACAAGGGGGAAAGTAGTGGTAGCGAGTGCACCAGTACAGAACCAGGAGACAGCAGGACACTCCCCCACCCGCTCTACCTGCCACCCAGGAGGAAGCGAGCTCCATGTAAACAATGACATCTCAGACCACACCCCACAAAATACAATGTACCTAGTAAATGAGGCAGTTGCTGAGAATGGGGGAGGCCAGAGTCATTACCAAGATCAGAGATGTTACCAAGAACAAATTCCAGCTTGAAAGTCATGTACAGTACACTAATAATGACAAGTTCCTTGATAAGAGAAAGGAGTTTGAAACCCTACTCAAAGTACATTAACCCAATATAGTAGGTGTTGTAGAACTGTTGTACAAGAACAGGAGAATCAACCTGGAGGAAAGCGAGTTCAATATAGATTGATATGACTCATTTACAAACCTTTCTCAAGCAACTTGCAAGAGGGGTGGGTTATCTATGCTAAGCAAGACCTTAGGGCCAGTCAAGTGAAGGTGCAAGGGGATGTTTTTGAAGAATCCAAGTGGTGTAAAATTAAACTATAGGGGAGAGACTTACTCATTGTCGGATGTAAAATTTATATTACTATTTAATTTATTTTAAGCTATTTTATATGTATGACTCAAATTTCATTAAATGTAAAATACAGGTATTAAACATTGTTCATAATGGAATGATGGTAGTGAAGGAAACAACTAAGAGATGGATCTTCATTGAAAAAGTATTGTGATGAAACGTCAGAAATAAAACTCCATCTCTTAGTGGTGTTTCCTTCATTACCACACTACCAATACAAGTACTGTATTGTTTATTGAAGGAACCGACAACTTAGTTAGGTTTTGACGAGTGTTATCCCCAGCCATGGAGCCTAACCTCCTATTCCCATAAGCCTTCAGTCTTGTCAACTGCTGATTAGTCAACCACAGGGTTTTTCAGTAACCTAACCTCTGTGGTTGGCAAAGGACTACTGCACTACAAAACATACATAAATACATATGACAAATAGTAAGCCTTACCTGGTTCAGCTACCTCAAAACCCTTGGTATCAACAGCTGGTACTAAGAAAATCTGTGTTGTTTGTAAAAGTTTTTGCATTTCTCTATTTTTCTTGGCCCAGCCAGCTCCAAGGTGTCTGGCTAGTCGGATGACCAATTCACGTCCCACGGGCTGAGATCCATACAGTCCACCGAAAATCATTACTCGTACTCGGTTATCAACACCACCTCCAACCTTGTAAAACAAAAAAAGAAGTTATCTGCATTTGAAAATTTACTATTCAACATTAAAGATCATGTTCATAATATTAATTCCTATATTCCAATACACTGTAGGACAATTTTGTAAAATGATCTCCAAATAATCAAAAACAAATCTCTTTACTCCTCCAAATTTGCTTCGGCTTAGCATGACATAAAAATTTGCCTTTTCCCAGACCTTGTCTATTTTTTCTTAGATCAAACATATCATGACCCTATTACTGTATATCTCACTATTCAGCTGGGTAACTCTTGTATTAACTCTTCCCTGACATAATGTACCAACAAATGTCTACTCTTCCACACTCTCTTACTGACTTTCATCTATCTGTGAACCAGTAATGGAGACATCACAGTCTACACAAGTGTATATAATTTTTCCTGGGCTCATCATACATGGGCCCCTAACTTGTACTGTCCACAGGGCCAATTTGTATGTAAATATTGTCTGAGTAACAGAGAATGGGGAGGTTAGTGTGGGACAAGTGAAGTCTGGCCTGATTCAGGTTGGGCCTGTTAATTACCTCTATGAGGAATTAACTAATTTGACCACCTGGGCTGCCTCAATTAAATGGATGGCCAGGGATACGACGGTTCCGGTAATATGCCTTGTCATATTTGTGGTGTGCAGAGTGTTTGCGAGACACTTATATGAAATTTCTACCTCAAAATTTTCTACCCGAGTGCTATACTGCACATGCGCGGCCATACACAGAACCAGTAAACATCTGTTCTACGCATCTAGACCCATGAGAACAAACTATCCTCCAACTCTTTGCTCAAAATATTGACTTACAAGTGGTGGAAGGTGATTTTTAATTATTGCTCATAGATTATAAGTGTACTGTATGATGCTTAAAATAAGGACATTGCTAGCTGTCACTTGCAGTTTCCTGTGTTTTATTGACACCGTTGGGAAATATAAGTAGATATTTCACAGGGGTAGAAATTTCACATAACACATCAGGGAGCTACATCCATCAGCCAGCTACATCTACTGCCATAGCCACAACTTAAACCATAGCTATATGGTAGTTCCTATCTGAAACAGTCGAAAAGATGTGGTACTTTATCGCCGCCTCACCATATCTCCGTATCTGTATCACTCATGTTGCCACCACAGTTGCCCCAATGCTTAAGAAATTCTGTGAGACATGATGGACTCATTGAAGTGAGTATGTAGCCTTGGTCTTTATATGTTTTTCTGCTATTATAGACACCTTGCACCATCTTAGCAAGGAGAAACTCAGTCACGACCCGTCACCATTTCTCCACTCTATCCTTACATTTGACTTCACTATCTGTCTCCACAACAGCAGCCATCTTCTGAAGTTCTTGATGCCACTGTGTAATATGCTACAGGTAAAAAACTGTGACCTCGTCCATGTATCACAACAAACACAGACATTCGTCAGTTTCTTTCAGAAGAAGCGAGAGGATGACACCTATGACTGTGAGGATCAAAGTATTGTATGTGAGTTTACTAACAATGTGGATGTACCTCCCAAAGCTCCACGTACTACACGTCGTCAGACTCGGCGCTCGAATGCACCAGGATACAACCCCAAGGATTACTTACGATTCAATGTCAACTTGCCTTTTATCAACCAACTAATCACCCAACTTAATGATCAACTCTGCAAGCTTTTACCCCACTTATGTGAGCAGTACATCCTCCCAGACTTCATTGACAAACTGACAGATGACATCTGGTAAAGCAACAAGAATATGAACCTCTTCTACCGTCACCCACATCAGATGATGCAGAACTGGATCCCATTATTGCCACCAGGGTTGTGTATTCAAACATTCATGCCATCCTCCATACTCTGCTAACTATGCCTGTCTCCAATGCCCCTGCTGAGCACTCGTTCGGCACTCTCCGCCGACTCGAGACATATGTACGGACCAAGATGACTGACCGCACTGATGTAGACGTTGTTAAGAAATTTGATATCACAGGACACTGTCGCCTTGCTCTTGACCGATTTTAAATTTAACTCGAGCATATGTATTAATTTGTCATATGTATAATGTTTAATGACTACAGAGATATATATTAAATTTTAGACATGTGAATACAGGTATGTAAAATATTTATAGATTAGTGAAATAAAATTTTTATTCAATGTAGTAGAGTAAAACTTTGATAACTCGGCAGGTATGGGGCTCTGGCCTTGACGAATTATCCCAAATTCCGACTTGTCAAGACACTTCCCCCCTACAAAAAATACAACATTAAAAAATGTTGGGCCCATATACGTGTACAGTACATGTAATTACTAATTTTCAAAAAGTAACACTTAGGTATTACCAATGCAGGTAAAGAATGAAGCATGATAGTAAATTACACAGACACATGGTAGGTGACAGAGAGGCATGGTAGGTGGTGCAGGCGATGAAGGGAGAACACTCTGTAAACAATAGACACTGTGGCACTTGTGTATACTACTGTAATTTGGTCACTTTACAAAACAAAGAATAAATTTTAACAAAAATAACTGTTTCCTCTACATATAATTAAATTCTAAGTATCTAAATATACACATAAATTATATCACCCAGAATATTATAGTCCACCCGAGTAAAATGGTTTTCTTTATTCCAGAGCAAAAGGGTAAAAATTTAAATACTGTAATGTGGCTTAGAAGTAAAGAAAATATAATATAAAACTATAAAATAAGAAAATTGAAGAACATAGGTAGGTGTGTGTGAGGTGAACGTATGTGAAGGCAGTGACCTGTACTGTGTGGCTGACTCGCACATCATGGCAGACACAAACACACACACACATCTCAGTCAGCTGGTTGACTGCCTGGATGAACTGTGACGTCACTTAGATGATGGTCTGAGTGTGGAAGGAGCTACTTTTTGTACATAAAATATGTGCTATTGTATTTTATGATATGCTATGTATCAATTTTATTGTTTATCATAGCAATTTTTTTTAAAAGTGGTTATATCACTACTCTCTGCCCCCACTGTTCACTCCCAAGTGCGCGATAACTGCTAGAGGGGCGCTGAGGTACGATGCCTCGCCGACTGCTACAACTCGCCAATAACCACAGGTGGTAAGTACAGAAATAATTATGTTATTTCCTATTAACTAACATGTATGTCTAACATTTCGTAAGACTAGAACATTTATTTTATGATTTTCAATTTTCAGCCTACTATTCAGTTCCTGAAGGGGCACTTCCCAAGACTCGTCAGACCTTTAAGGGTTATGGGAAAATAAGAAGCCAAGTACAAAAACAACAAAACAAAATCCTGAAAGAAAAATTTTATCAATTAACTTTCAAATAAATGTTAAATAGTAGTTGTATCAAATATAAAAAGGGTTTAGTATGCATACCTCTACGCCCATTCGGAGAGCATGCACCTTCATACTCCAGTCATTATCATTTGCTAGGAATTCTGCAACCTCCTTGTATTTATTCTCAATATCAGCCATGGCTTCATTCAAAGCAGAGTTATTAAGATAACTATTAACAAGGTTCTCTGCCAAACCAAAATCTTCTTGTAATGACCATGTTGAAATATCATCATTTTTTAGAGTAAAGTTCACTTGGACAGCCCAGAGGTGTGGTACATCAACTTTCTGACTTCTGGTCTCATACCTGTAATAATACAGAATAAGTAAATGGTCATCTGAAGGAAAAGGCATCAAACTAACAAGTCAACCATAAAGCCATCTATAAAGCTCAGGTTAATCAATAAGTCACTTCCTGGAGTTAGAGAAATTTAGTTTATACTGTACACAGATTAGTTGCTTTAACTAACAAAGTTATTATAATATGAATAAACTTTCTTTACATTTTCATATTCACTCTTGGCTCCCGTACTATCATTACTTTACCATATCTTTAATTACAGGTTGTACAGGTTGTACTTCAAAAATCCAAACATCATTTATCCCAAAACTTCAAAAATATAATTTGAATGGTGGCATTTTCAATTATTTTAAATTTACACAATAGTGTTGTAACACACTCAGCTGACTGCAGAGGTAAATAAACCAAGCTACCTTTGCTGAGCGAGTATTTATGGCATTATATTGCCCTCACTGGCTTTGTACTATTATTAACCTTTTCTATCACATTACTTAGTTTAATTATAATTATACATATTATATATTGGCTTACAATTACCATACAGTATTTTTTATATTGACCTTCAGTTATCCAAAATGGCTCTGGTCCTGAGCATTTCAGATTTTACAAGTGCAATCTGCAGGGGTTTAAAATACCTTCTCAAAGCCTTAACTAAACAATATTAGTTTTTTTAATTTATCCCTCTTTTATTACTTTCTACAATCACTGTATCCATTATACTGTACTACTACATATTGTAAATCACTGATAAATCTTAAAATTTCCCATGGTAGTCACAACTCTACTGCCACATACTGTATACGTCCACACACTTACTATGCTGGGGAACCCATAGAAATAAGTCAGATATACAGTACAGTGTATCTAATAATTTTGCATCCTGGTGTGGTTATCAAGAAAATGAAGAAAACCTAGAAGATGATCATTGATAAAATACAAAAACTTACTTGAATATATAAAAACAAATAGAATTGGCATAAGTTTTGAGTGATATATTTAGTTTGATAATGCATAGTATCTTATCAAAATGGTCTTGATGATTAAGAGAAAACAAAACGAAAACAAAAATCAAGAACAAAATTAAGAGTCTAGAACATGTGTCCCCTACTAAGTTTCAAATGACATAAATTCAGTAATAAAACCAATTAAGAAAAAAATTTACCCTTCAGCATAAACCATAACCAAGTGTTCTCCAGGCACCAAAAGTCTCCAGTAATCTCCGTCAGCAGCAGATATAACATCATGATCAATACCAGCTACACTAATGGTTGCATTGCTGATAGGGTTACCATTGACATCCAAGATGAACCCTTTTACTCCTGTGTGTACCTGTAAACATACCAACACCTTAATCAATATCATACACTTCCAGATGTATTTTAATAATAAACTCAGTATGGATATAAAAAGGTTTTCAATAAATAGCAGATATACGTGTGACGTCCTTCCTTCTAAGACTTCAACAAATTTGTACTGTATCGGTATGTCACCCATAGTGAGAATATATTTCTAATAAATAATTTCCTGATCACCTCAGCTACTGACTCCACACCATCAATTATACAAGATTTAGCTACAATAAAACATTGGCTGAAAAAATATCAATGATTGCTTGACTCTTAACAGTGGAAAAGTCATAACCAGTATTCAGTACAAGATACATTACTGTTTGATCAAATATTCCAAATTTGTATAAGCTGTTTCATGCAGAAACCGATACCTAGTAAACACTGCTTAATAATACTAGCCAATGAATCACTTAAAACAAAAATAATTAAAGAAAAAAGATTTAATAAAAATAAAAATATGACTAACTGAACATGACAGAAAGTCCAAACATGTCTTAAATTCAAAGCCGTGAAAAACTCACTCATTTCCTTCTTCCCATCGCTTATTTACTGTATAATATTAAAACCTATCATCTGAACAAAAGCAAAAACATCATATGCCCCTGTACTCAAACATTGCCATCAGTGAGTACTAGATCTGGTGACTTGTGGTACAATAATGTACTCTGGCATCAAAGAGTAAGTGTTAAACAGCTTAATATCATCTCACTTAACTAACCTGTTCCATGAATGCAAGAAGGGAGTTCTTGTTCTCAATCCAGTACTTGGCCAAGTCTTTTGAAGGTGGATATTTATGGCAACCCATTTCAACAGTGATCTCAAAGCAGTTAGAATTAAGATAATTCCAATCCTGCATGCCTCCTGATACACTGTACCATTTGGCTCCATTGGTAATGCCATCTCTGAAGACCACTTGACCAGCATTACAGGGTTTTCCTATGGGCATTCTTGGGTGGGCCTTAAAGCAAAATTTTAATCAATAACAGAGATAAATTACAAACCATGTGTTTTGGTTTACTACTGAATATTTATGGGTCTTTATAACCAAACAAGGTATTAATCGTGCGAGTAAAAAAAAAACATGACTACTAACATGTCACTAATACTTTAATATCTGTTATTCAAGTTGTCTACAACACAATTTGATGCAGTTTGTTTGCAAACACTTTTCAGAGCAGCCAGCCCAAATGACCAAACAAGAGAAGTAAGTTTTGACCCAAATAGAGGACAATATTTTCCAATTACAAATAAAATATATACCACTCTGAACTGACAGTGCATATTATTTTCATGTAAAAGTATGTCTATAAAACTTACAAATGAATAGGCTTTGGCTAGTTTTTTGAAGACTTCATCATCTGGACACTTGCTGTATAAACCACTTCTACCTTGAGGGTTATTGTCCCAAGGAAAATTGGCAACAAGAGACCCACCATGGAGGTTAGCAGAAAGGACAAATGGATACTGCTTTATCCACCTCATAACTGCCAGGGTTTCTGGTTGTCTTCCACTATCCTGAAGAAAACAGAACCATATTGCTGAATACATACCAAACAATCCCCTGGAAAATACCAACTAGTACCGTACATGCTTGTCACTCTATCATTATCAAAATGCTAGTGTAATCTACAGTATATAGTTATGATATAAAAAAAATATTAACACAGGAAAAAATCTGGCAGCAAACATTTTTCAGTACCTCAGCTCATTAAAAGGCTCCTGCTTAATATTTTCTCAAAATAATTTATTACTTGGAGATTCTGGAAGTGGAAATTTTTCATAAATAGTTGCTGGTAAGTTTGGTGACATTCTAAGTTTTAATGATGACAGAACAAGTCTGACCAGCTTTTCTGGATAGGACCAGCAGAAATGAGAGATTTAGAAACAAGATCAAGATGAGACAAAAAAGGTATAATGAATTTAAGTCTGGCCATATCACACTGCTTCAATGGTCCAAGTTACACAAAAAAATTGGTTAAATTTGCAAACATATCCAATCATGAAAAGGAAAATAATCTTTAGAAGTGTATTCAGTGCCTAGCATCATCATCATCAACATTATACAATCTTTTACCACTCTAGTGTGGGTTAGCCACAATTACCTGATGACAGCTGTTGGGTAAAACAAAAAAGGGGACCTCCCATCTCACCACTGCAAACAGAGAGTGCCAGCCCAGATAATACAGCAGAGACCAGGGGATGGGCACAGCTCTAGTGACCCACTGCCATCAGGCATGTTGAAGCAAAGTTTAACAGTTGGCATTAGGGTGGGCTCCCTAATGCCAACTTACACGGCGGGAACAGTAGACAAAGCAGGGTTGTAACTTCCCAAGGTAGTCAAGGACTACCAGCATACCTATAATATATTCAATTTGCTCCTGCTCTTGTATAACAGGTAGAAATACTTGCATATACTTAGTCATGCTCATATCCTAAGCTTCCACAAGCAATGTACAATGTGAATCTTGAGTCTCCAAATTGATTCACCAGTTATTCATTTGTTCAGTACTAAATACATATAAATATATTGATAAATGATTGGACCAGTTTTACATTCAACATGAAGTACAGTATACATTTAAGATAGTTCGATAAACAATTTACAATAGCACAAAGAAGCAGTTAAATAACATTTTGAACGAGATAGTTTCAAATAAAACCTAAAAAACAGTATTACATCAAACATAATTAAACAAGTTGAACCCTCTTAGTTCCAAACTACAACAAATAGAAATGACAAATGTTACCTGTGAAGCCAAGTACTGATCTGGGAAGTTTCGGTTCAGGTCTACACTGTTCCAATTGGCTCTTCCCACAACTCCATCATGGTCTCCTGTAAGACACGGTCCTTATTTATTCGCAATAAAGGCATTTACAAAATTCTTGACTCAGGAATGCAATACTGTACATCCTAATCATGATATGTTATGAAAAATAAATGGTGATGAATTGATTCACATGTTTCCACCAAGTTTCCTTATTTATCATCCAATAATAATCCCATACCTCCTTTATTGAATTTTAACTTTAATGAAATTTTTCTAACATAAAAGCAGTTTCAAGATAAGAGAACTCTCATCTCATTAGTGTGAACAGTACAGTATCTCTACCCTAGGCAAAATAATCATCTTCTGTAGACAAACAAAAGCAAATATAAAACTGGAGGAACCTGCACAGTACACCCTGCCTGCCTGGTCTAAATACCATCCAAGGGATTCAATTTGATGAGAGGATACAAGTCATCATTTTATGAATGAATGTAAAGATACTCCTGACACACAAATCAAAGCTACCTTTGTAGTGTTCGGTTGTGATTACTTTCTACTGTGATACTGTGACCACACAGCAAGGGGAATCATTCATCTGACATACCCAGGAAATTAATAAGTTTAAAGTGGCACTGTAGTACCTGTACAACACTACAGTTATCCCCATGTTAAGGAAGAGGTGCATTCTTGAAGTTACCCATAATGTGCAATTCTAACACAATTCCACTTTCCCTAATTAAATCTACAGTATTATTTGTGGGGGAAGAAGCTTCCCAATAAAAAAATCACCTTAAAAATGTAACAAAATTATATTTAAGAAAGTAATAAATTTTTGGAACCCTATATTTAATGAAATACTGAATATTTTATGATTACTGTACTGTATACATTATATCATTAGTAATAATAATAAGTCATGAATGCAACTTAACTGAAACAAAACTGATCAGTGTGTGAGGTGGTGATGTACGTCAGGTGGTTTAATGGGAGTTATTGGGAGGGAGATGGAGCAGCAGTATGGTCTCATCCACCATAACAAACTTCTATTTTAACATCCAAGATACAGGTATGGGTTTTAGCATATAATGGTCTCTTTCCATGCATACTGAACAAAGGTGCCACTTGGTACAGTTATGAATACAATATGATGTATGAATACTAAGAGTGTACTGTACTCAAAACAAACCCAGTCAATTACATTTTCACACTAAAGAGACAGGTTCAGTAATGGTATGAAATGCACTGGCAAATGAAGCATAAAATGCATCCAAAAGCAAATAATACAAAAATATCTATAATTTTGGCAAAATTTCCATTCAATATTGCATTTTTTGTGATGAAAATTTACTTCATTTTTACATGGTCAAAATTTCATGCCGTAATCCAGATTTTGTGGCTTTACTATATAAATTCCATACACATGAATTTCCACAACCAAAATGTCTGCAATGAAAGTACCTGATCAATGCCAGAATATGTTTGTAACTTTAAGAACTCAAAATGTGATTAACTTATTAAATCCACAACAATGTGAGTTTCATTATGAACTGACAGACATTTCTTCCTACTAATACTATGAAACACAATAACTGAAGCTATAATAAGCAGGCTTGACTTGCAACATACAGTACAGTACCTTCATTGGAAATTTCAAATCCATCTGGGTTCATTGTAGGCATAAGGTGAATCCTTGTGTTGTTGACAAGTTTTGTTGTACGCTCATTTGAACCATAACCTTCCAATAGGTATTGCATCAACAGCAGCAGTGTTTCTCGACCCACCACCTCATTTCCGTGCATATTTCCAATATATTTGAACTCGGGTTCACCTGTGTAACGAATAAAAATAAATCACGAGTAATAATAAATTCAGTGTATTTGGCATAATGTTAAAAAAATATATATGTATTCAAAAACAAAAATAGTAATTCAAATGTAGTGAATAAGGCATAAAAGTCATAGTCAATCAGTCTTGTTAGATCCATATTTTTACCGTTTGACAGTTGACGGTTACCACTCCTCTTGGCAAGGGGCCAGGCTATTAAATGCACTTTGAGAGTGTATATACTTGTCTACTACAGAGTGTACAAGTAGAGAATTTATATTTCACTCTAGCCAGGAGCAACACCTGAACTATGGAGTCACACATTTTCCAAGGAATAACATAAAATAACCAGAAACAGAGTTTCTCAGATGTTTTTCCCATGTATGGGTAAAATGAAAAGAAGCAGCAAGTACAAAATTATTTGCATCATCATCATCATCACCTCCCTTCATTAATATTAATTCACCTACAAGCTTACATCCCTGACCAGCCCTAAAATCACTCACTTTCATGATTTCACTCTCCATCACATAATTTTTAAATAGCATTTTTATTATAAATATTAGTCATCATATTCCCTTCCTTCTCTAAATCCTCTCCATTCTTGCACCAGAGAAATCTTTTTCATAGAGTTTTCAATTACGGTACCACTATATCAAATATCCCTGGGAACTGATTTCTCTTTATAGTAAGAGTTCTTAGGGTGAAAATACTTCGCTTTCAAGTAGAGCAACGAATTTTTTGCATGGTGGTAGCTGAAGAGATTCTTAGATGATTTTGGGCCAGAACCCAGTTGGAAAATGCAGTTAATTGGCCAATATCACTATCTCGACCATTTTTTGTGCTAGAGACTCTGTTTTAGTTCAATCGAAATGAGCAAGTTAGTTTTCAGCTATGAGCAAAAAATGCGACCCCGCCCACTTGAGACGCAGTATGTATGCATCTACAGCTGAAGCCCTAATGCAGTCGTGTTTGGTGTTTATATTTTAGTTTTTTTGGGGGGGCACAAAAAAGTGATTTCAAGCACTCATTTTGAGCAATGACAAAATAGAAAGTAAGAAATTGCAAGACATTTGTTCAAGCTCTCCCGCGACTTCTACCATTTTAATGGTGAAATGGGTTTGTGAGAGCACTGCCACTACCAACAAATCAGTTGACCTAAGGTCATTCTTTGGGGCACTTAACAGTTAAATTTACTGCACCACCCACCAAGTTTGGAATCAGTTAAAAGATCAGGCTTTGAGAAATGAGGTATTGAATGAAATTTAACAGAAATTAAAAATAATAATAATATTTTTTTTTAATATTTAGACAGCTGCACAATGTTGTGCATTGCAAAGTGTTCTAGGAACAAGTGCAAGCTTTACAATTACATTTGTCAAAGTCAGTCCAGCAACCTTCTTTCCAAAGTGCCCCAGTTCACTGAAATAACTCCATCGATGAGAGACCAACCCCAGTATTAAGGGCTGGGTGGATCAAAGCAACAGTCCAGCGCTTTTTTGCAGATCAATGCTTGTTATGCGCTCCTCTTCACTTTTGGGATGAGAGTATCTGTAGTGGACGAAAACTTGCGCAAAGGAGTACCTTTGTTCATGAACAGAAACCACCTTGCTTCATTCATCGATGTTGAATGTACTGTGTCGGTTGTCACAAACAGAGAAGCTGTGAACTCCTCTACAGTTTTAAACAGCCGGGAGAAAGCACCATTGTGTTACTCTTCCGTAGATGTCATTTCACCAGCACTGGTAGGGAGGACAATGAGAGTAGTGTATCTCCAAAAGTCATGCACAATTTTTTGTGTCCTTGCAGTTCAACCACATCATGTAGCTCTGTGACTATAACCTCGAACAGTTCCTGTTTGTTTTCTTTGTTTTTGAAGAACTCGTTCCACTTGCAAGGCACTGGGGTCAACGGGGAAACCCTGTAACGTGGACACTGTCCCCTAATCACACAGGTCGCAATTTTTATGCTTCCTTCCAGACAGCAATCAAACACAATGTTGACTCTGTCAAGATTTACTAACAGTTTCTTTATCTAGGGTAAAAATGTATTCAGGACAAAATCTCTACAGGTTTTGTCTCCTGGGAGAGGCATCATTGACTGTAGCACAAATGCAGCATCAAGAACATAACAATCAATTTCCTGTCGATTGAGCCAAAAACAGCTTCTACCTCAAAAAATGGCAGAAATAGTGATTTTGGTAGTTACAGCCAATTAAGGCCAATAAGTTTTTGTATCTACTCGAAAGTGAAGTATCTTGCAATTTTTTACCATAAGAACTACTACTATTAGTCTTTTTCACTCTTCCTTACAATCTTTACCTTTAAGCAAGGTAATTCTGTAGCCCTCAACCATTCACCATATCCCATCCCCGTTCTTCTTATCTTCTGATGTACCCTTAGTAAAATATTTATTACTTTCTTTTCTTCATACTTCAATATTTCTACCTCTAATACCATCACATCCCATAACTTTCCCAAAGTTCCTTACAACTGCTTTTTTCAACTTTATAATTAGTTTTTACTTTAACCTTCTCTCCTTTCTCTACCCATAACATGAGAGCTTTGCTTTGTTCTTTATCATTCAGTAGTATCAACTATTCAAAATATTCCTTCCACCTACTAATTACTTTGGGGTATGTCTCCCGTTCGTTACTATTCTTATGTTATTATTTTCATTCTACTGCTGTAACGTCTCTCCTATTCCTTATTTATTTTATAATACATTTTTCTGTTACAAAATTACTACTTAACTTAAAACATAAAATCAGAAATATTTACCAGGTTCATGAATTCCCGGATTGTCAGATATTTCCAAGGCATACAGTTCCCGACCCTGAACACTTGTCCCTATTGAGTACATCCGGGCAAGGTTTGGATATTTTTTTTCCAACTTCTGCATAAATACTTCTAAGTCAGGGTAATGATGGTACCTGGGAAAAGAGAATTGGCATAAATAAAATGAGTTAATACTGAGTTGGATTCATGTGTGTGTTTTGTTTTACATTCAAAGGACAGTACAGGGCCTCCCCAAATTCGTTGTGTTTAGGTTCTCAAAATGGCCGCGAATCGCCAAATCCGCGAATAACATTTGTGGATAGAGGGGGTGGGGGTACATTTTTACTTGTGTACAAAGATATTGTATATTCCCTTTATGTGTTTGCCCTTAGTACAATTATTTCTTTTACCTGTAGTATTGTATGTGTGTGTGTGTGTGTGTGTAGACACAAAACACATAGAGATAAATAATAATTGGAAAATCCTCTCACAAATAATCAAAAAAAATTTTTTTAAAAATGTGAATCTACCCTCAAGTCCGTGCTCTATTAATAAAGTACTGTAATAGAGCACGGACATGAGGGTAGACTCACATTTTTAATAAATTTGTTTTTGATTATTTGTGAGAGGATTTTCCAATTATTATTTATTTGTATGTGTTTTGTGTGCGTGTGTCTACACACACACACACATATTTACAATACAGGTAAAAGAAATTACTGTCTCTAAAAGAAATGGCTCCTTGTCCCAGCCGCGAAAATGCCGGCAACTTTAAAACTACCCACAGACATTCTTGTGTACATCAAGGGTGTCATCTGCAAAATAAAAATCCGTGAACTTGGGGGGGCCTCCTGTATTTCCTGCTATGATGTAAGGAGGTAGGCAGGTACTGGACTGCTGGTTTTCAGCAGTCTGCAGCTAGTGGGATACCCTATCCCATTGGCAGGATGTTATTCCAAAAATAGGTTGTTTCAACATCAGAAAGTGCACCTAATACTATGAATGAAATTACCAATAAAGATTAATGTGGATTATTGAATTATTAAATGTGGATAGAATGACTGAAGACTGTACAGTGCAGTACCAGGGTGAAGCGAGTCAAAATTTATATAATGAAGAAAAGAAGAATGAAGACAGACAATAGAATAAGAGTGAGATGTTATTTCATAAAATCCATCGAAAGATACAGGCTACTCTGGGTGGAGGAAGCTCTGAACAAACTTATCTATTTACTCCGACCTTGTTGTTACAGTGTTAATTAATCAGAATGCAATTGCCAGAGTACCATGGGTCAGATCTTACAATATCTTACATGTGCAGGTACAGCATTTGATAATTTGACTTACTAGTACAGTACAGTACAGTACTGTACTTTACTACTGCTTTTTCTTTTTATCAAAGCAAGCAATTGTCATTTGTAAGCCAAGATATTTTATCCTTTAAATGGTGTGCCTCTGATAACTACTGCCTCTCTCCATAAAATAAACGTATCTCAAGTCCTTTCTCTTTGCCTTCTTTGTGACATGTTTACTGATAATGAGGACAGGTTTGATTTAGCTAACACTGATAATTTATTTAAGTCTCACTCATCAAGGGCATTTCTCTTTTGCCTAACCAATACCACAGCCCACCTGGAGGTTTTAAATTTGTTTAAACCTTACACAGGATCACAGTTGCCAATATACCATTCTTAGATTATGCACAAAGGTGACTGGATCATGAGCAGTGCAGTCACTTCAAAAGTGTTATAGCTATGGTAATTTGAGTGAATTGACAAATCAGCATATACTGCATAAATTGATATTGTGAATTAATGTAGATGCGCATTGATATTTCTTCTTTTTTTCTTTTACTTTCCTGCCACCCTATTTTTCCTCTCTTCTTCGACTAATCTGTCTAAGATAGCTATATGAAGTAACATACATGATATATATCATGCATGTTTACTAATACTACAGCTAGGTGCTCTACACAATATATACAGTGCAAAACTATGTGAAAAGTTAGAAGTTAAATATTGGAAGATATTTATATCACTGAACCATGTGATAAAGAAAACAGAGGCAGATTGACATGTTTAAATAAACTGACTAGATATAAACACAATTCATAGTGTAGAATTACTTATCGCCTACTCACTTAAATTCAGGACTTGAAGTAAATCCTTCTTCTTCAGGCCTTTTGGGTCGAGGTGTGGTGGTTGTTGTTGTTGTGGTGGTGGTTATGTTCTTAGTGGTTGTTTTTGGAACTTCCAGAGGGGCCTCAGTAGTAGAGGTTTTAGAAATGCTAGAGCCATTAGTTGCTGTGAAAAATGGAAAATCATTAATGAAGATTTTTACAATGGTTCTCATCTGAATTTTTTTTGTCTTATGGAGAAAGTGAATTGATACCCATCAGTATGGTCCCTATTAATCATAAGCATTTTTACCCTTTGGTAGGATAAATGAATTCCACTGTATTGTACATATTCAATACAAACCATACTGTATACAAAACTGTAAGTCCAAATGAAGATAGAACTCCTCTCTTATACCAGAACTCCTACACATCAAAGCCAACCAATTTCTTACCTTTACAAAAAAAAATTACAATGAAAATGTATTGTTCTTTCAAAAGAAGACACGGTTTATTACTGTCAATGGAGTGATTTTGGGGGGCAAAAAATATTATAAAGAAAAAAAAATCGGTTATGTGATTAACCTCACCTTCTGAAAAGTCATATGAATCAAAACAACAATACAAGTTTTTTGTTTGTTTTTGGTACATAAAGTCATGCGGTGCAGTCTGGTGTATAAAGCCTCAGCTCACAGTGCAGTGGGAAAACAATACATTGCAAATACAGTACAGTAACAAAGAAGCTGCACTCACCACAAAAATATATCAGTGTACACAATCACACAACTGAAACTCACATGAATCAATATAAGCTATCAGGCTTACACCATTTGGGAAGTCAGTAACCCGAGAAGAACTTCCATCTGAAGACTGAAATGAGGACTGGCCATCTGCCATTGATGTGCTGTGACCATATCTCACAGTTGAGGGTTCATCAGCAATCACAGTTGTGGGCTGAGTACCAATCTTAGTTGTGGGTTGACTATTCCTCAAAGAGGAGACATGACCACTGCTCTTGGTTGTAAGCCGATCACCAATCATAGTTGTTAGCTTTCCACCATTTGTTATGTGCTGGCCAACACTCTTGGTTGAAGTCTGACCATCAATCATGCTTATGAGTGGCCTCGGAGTGGTGGTTGTGCTCTTCATTATATGTGAGCTGTTTAATTCTACCGTTGAGTCCCTGGGTCCAGTGACATTAACAATATCAAAATTATGTTGCTGTCCTTTCAAATATTTTACTTTACGGATAACTCTTGCAGCCCTCGACATGTTGTTGGGCTGGACATTTGCAAAACTTGATGGATAGGATAAAACTCTATGGACTTTCAAAGGAGCTACCTTTGAAATGGGAGAAATCATTGACATTTCAGGTTCTTTGCTCCTCTTTTTAGAAGCAATTACATAAGGTTTGGTTGTTGCTCTTTTCAAGGAATCAGTCACAATTTCCATATTAATCAGATCTAAAATGGTGTTTCCCTTTGGACTTCCTAGATGACTGATTTCTTTCTCAGTTTTAGGATTACTTTCAATTACCACTTCTCGTAACTTTGAAGGCTGATGAACTGAAAATATTTTATAAAAATTCAAACACTGATGAAACAAATAAGAAATATTTTGCAAAAAGACTATGATTAGTAAAAAAATAGTGATGTTAATGAGGAATGCATGCACTCAATACAGTACAGTATAAGAAATGAAACTACAGTAAACCCCCAACATAACGGACCTTGGCTTTAATAGACCCTCTGACCCATTCGGACTAGGTTCATATATTACGACTCAGGTCCGTTATAGAAAAAATAAAGGACTCGGGTACATTATGGTAAAAAATTTATGGACTCAATTAAAGCACTCGATTTAACGGAAAATCAGAATTAACCAAGTTCGGAATATAGTACTCTACAGTAAGGTCTCATATTTCGCACAATTTCATTTCGCATGTTTTTATTTCGCGAACACTACCTAATGTAACCAAGACTTATATTTGGCGTAAAATATCATGAATTTCGAAAGATCAAGCCAGCTGAACACGAGATCCAGCAAGCTGAATGCTGGCCACCGTCTTGCATGACGTCACAGCCCTCATACCAGTTACAGTCATTTCTGCTACAATGCGTGTTTTGTCAACGCGAACTGGATATTAAAAATTTTCAAATATGTATAACGAACGGTCGAAGTCAAAGACAAACGTTGCGTTCGGCTGAAGCCTATCTATTATTTCTTTGTTTTGTAACAAACAAGATATTTTAATGTTGAGAAAGGTGTCGGTATGACTAGTGTAAACAATGACCTTAGGCCGAGTTCAGTAACAGTCACCCTTCTGGAAAAATGATAGTTAGGTAAAACTTGTTTGTAAGTGCTGGAAATTAAGTGTCCGAGACATACCTGTAAGGCAAAGTGAAAATCTTACTCTAGTGGTGGAGCGTACCTAGAGGTTGACATTTTATACCTGTTGTATAAGACGACCCCTAGTTTGAACAAAAAAATTGGAGCTTCAAGTCAACTTATAGGCCACAATATACGGTATGTTGGTATATAAAGCTGTGGTCACACTAGAGTTTCTACCCAGAATAAATCCACTGTAGCATTGATTTATCAATGAACTCAAGTTGTCTCTACAGCGACAACTTACAGTATTTGTTGTCGGAAGTGGGACGATACGGAGCATCTGAAAATCCCTGGACTATAGGTTCTATTGTATTAATAAAATTTACACTGTTCTTATTTTTTCTTCTTAATGTTAAAATGTACATAAACTATAACCAGTGAATTTCAATAAAAAAACACTAGCAAAAAGTCATAGTAAATAAAAATAATAAGAAGAATACATCATGACGGGAACTTCATTTGACTCCAGAATACTTGCGTCACTTTTGTAAACAAACATCGCTTGAACGCTACAATCATTCTTTTTAGTCTTGGTCTTATTTAACAGGACCACACATATCATTATAGCAGTTAATGCTGCCATAGAAACATACACATAAGCCATCCTGCTCACCAACTGAGCTCAAACTAGCCGCGTGAGCTGGGTGCCTGGCCAACGGTTCCTTTCGCCAGTGACCAGCGTGCGGAGCGTACCGTTGACTTATTGCCTGCGGATGAAATGCTATTGTGGATTTTTTGTATGGAAAACTCTAGTGTGACCATAGCTTAACAGAGCGAGTCCAGTATTATTCCAGATCCGGATATACAGTAATGGACTTTTGGCTTTAAAGGACCTGCCCCCAATTAGTCTGTTATATTTGGGGTTTACTGTACTGAAGTTAAATCTGAAGAGGATATCAAATTACATAGCTAGAATAGAAACTTACAATTCATTTATAAAAAGAACTGTCAAACATTCATTTGAAAATTAGGAACCAAGTAATACAGAATTAGTCTGTTTGTGCCAGGCTTAAAAATAAAAGCAACACTCACCTTGGGCATGCCGCTTCATTTTCAAATCTACACGAGTCACAGTTTCTTTGGCAACATTAATCTTTTGTGATGCAGTCTCGTACCTGAAAAAATACAATATGCAGCACTCTGTTCATAAATTATCAGGAAAAAAGAGTCATCAATTGATATACAGGGATATCTAATTATGCTACCTATATATAGTATCTACCTACAGGGCCAGATTATCAAGAGGGCACTGTATCCAGGGCCTACAAAAATTGGGAAATATGGCCTATGAAGTTTTACAGGCCAGCAAAAATAAATGAAAAAAAGAAGATAGTTTGATGAGAGAAATAGATTACCTGTATTGTCATACCACTAAGTGATTACAGATGTTAATTTAGTATCTGTTTGCTTAGTGATTAAGATTTAGTCACATCTGACTGGCCTGAAAGTAACTAAGATCTAATAAAATCAGAAAGGAATAAATAAATTCCACATCAGAATACTAAACAACTCAACGGTTTACCATCAATAATTATAGTTTCATAAATCATACTTAATACACTCCCCTATTCTTGGCTGCAGCAAAGTCTTCAATACAGTAATGTCCTAAAAGTCCAACTTTCTAACATGATCTCTTTGTGTTGATTAACGCCAATGACGAAAGGTGATTCTGGCCCATTGTAAATCTTAGGCATTTATTTTTTTTTATCCTTTTAAGTCTGGAAAATGACCTCTCAACTTTGCAGGTGGTACTGAGTATTTACATATACAGTATATATTCTATAAGCCTAATTCATATTAGAAAACCTGTTGACCAGCCCCTTGGTTACCTGAGTTTTCAGTAATTCTGCCATTTATTTATTGTCGGAGAGCATTTCTCTGAAACAACATACATTCCTCAGTAAACATGGATTCAGTGTCATCCTTGTAGCGATTCTTTGTTAAAGGTAAAAATTTATAGTTTGGTTAGTTACAGTGCTAAGAGAACAAGCGCATTCCCAAGGGAACAATTAGGGGCCTATGATAAAAAAGTGCTCAAGGCCTACGAAACACTTAATCTAACCCTGTTTACCTACCCATGCATCTATCAGCAATATTTTCTTCCAGGTCAACTGAGTTAATATAGATACAAAAAGCCTCATGAGAAACACAGCCAGCCACCTTTAACATTGACAGGACCCGAGTGAATGAAAATTTCCACACAGCTCAAGTGGTATACAGTACAGGACTGTATACTGTACTATACTATGATGACTTGTAAGTCAAACTTTTGCCACCATTCTCTTCCAGGTTTTGTTTCTTGTCATTCCTGTGGCATAATTCAAACATGTCCTCAGCACTCACTAAAACTGTTGCTAAGTCAGACCATCTCTTGCAGGCTCTACATCTACCCCTCCTATCTTCCACTATTATTAATTTTCTTAACCAAACTCCCATTCATCAAACAAGACATTAATATTAAATGAACATTTACTATACATACCCATAACCTCTAGCCACAAGAGTATATATTCCAGGCATAAGTAACCTCCAGTACTCTCCCAGTCTGGAAGTGGTCACATTATAGTTCAGTTCCTCTACACTCACAAATATTCCTTCCAGGGCTTCACCGGTGTCAGCATCTGTCACCACACCTTCAATTCCAAATATACAAAAGTTATAAATAAAATATAATTATTTTTTATAATCATATGAATGAAGAGGTTATTCCATGAAAATTTTAAACCAATACAAGTAGAACTGGTCAATTTAGCCAACAGCTGAAAACCCTGAATAAAAGCAATCCACACTGTAAAAAAAAGTCTACAACACAATAAATAACAGAATTCAATAAAGTAATCAATTTAATTATCAGTGGAGCCATTCACCTTTCAATTCATATACCAGGTCTGTCCAAAAAGAAACAGAACTTTTTAAATAGCGCGCCAACTGCTCGTGATGGGAGTGCTGTGTAGCGGTGACCTTGACCTTTAGTCTAACACTCGCTGCAACACGCAACGTCAATTAGTCATCGAGCTACACGCGCTAGAGTGAACGTGTTTAGTGCACTTGGCGATTAGTTGCAAGTTGAACAATGAAGTATCTTGAAGAGCAATGTGTTTGCGTGAAATTCTGTTTCAAATTGGGAAAAACTTTTAAGGAGACTTTTCAAATTTTGCAACAGGCTTATGGGGAGGATTGTTTGAGCCATACGCAATGTCACGTGTGGTAACAGCGTTTCGAAAGGGTAAGAACATCCACTGAAGACGATCACAAATCTGGACGTCAGAGTAGCTCAAATGTGGAGGTGATGTTGATCGTCTTTTTTGATTGGAAGGGGGTCGTTCATCACGAATTTGTTCCACGTGGTCAGACAGTCAATAAAGAGTTTTACTTTGAGGTCCTGAAGCATTTGAAGGAGGCAGTGTGAAATAAGAGGCCTGAGGCATGGACAAGCAAGACCTGGATGCTGCACCATGACAATGCACCTGCTCACGCGTCGCTCCTTATCCATGACTTTTTGGTGGAGCACGAGACGACTATCGTCCCCACGCCGCCCTACTCTTTAGATTTGGCCCCTGCGGACTTTCTTTTGTTCCCAAAGTTGAAATCCACCCTGAAAGGTCGCCGATTTCAAACGATAGAAGAGATAGAAGAAAATTCGCTACGAGACCTGCGCACCATCCCTCAAAACGCGTTCCAGAACTGGAAAAACGTTGGGAGCGGTGTATCAACAATGGAGGGGAGTACTTTGAAGGAGACAAGTCTGATTAAGTTGTAAGTAAAGCAATAAATTTGTTTTTTAAAAGTTTGGCTTCTTTTTGGACAGACCTCATAAATGAGGTAAAGTAAATCCTTTCACAATGTAAGGACACTTCACAAATATATACTGTACAGTATTTTGATAAGAAAATTCTCCAAGTACATTAGGCATACCGAATACTGTACCAGTAAAGCAAGGGAAGAAAATTTCACCTCCAACTTTCCGAGATCCAGTTTCAACGGTCTATACCTGTACCTATAATGATATACAAGGGTTTACACCCCTTGTACTGTAATCTAAAATACCTTTACCTTTAGCACCCATATGTACCATCTCCATAAAGGCCACGAGTGACTCTCGGTTGTTGATCCACTCCAATGGCATGTCTGACGCCCCTGGGTATTTACAGCATGATAACTCGAAAGTTACTTCAGCACAGGATCCATAAATGTAATTGAAATCTTGCATACCTCCTGCGAGTGGAAATGTTATACAATATCAACTACTGTATTAATATATAATGTGTGTTAATAAAATATCTGTGTATACTCTCTATATTCATCACTCTTAACCAAATGATGAATGTTAAAAAAAACTTACCAGCAACATCATACCAATATGCACCATTAGTGATGCCCCCAGGAAAGTTATCAGTTGGACACAGATTGCCCCGTGCCATGGTGCCATGGTTTGATGCATACACTGTTGCCAGATACCGAAACAGTTCATTATCAGGAGTCTTGCTTTCCATGCAGCATTCTTTATGATGACTGGAAAGATCAGTGCATTAACTCATAATTTTTATAAACAGCCAATTTATCTTCAATATCACTTTACCTAGACCCATTATTTCAAGAATTTTTCTTGTATACAGAAGTAATGTATGGACTAAAAATATCAAACTACTGTACAGTACATTATAATGATTTTAAAATACTTTATTTGCCAACAAAAGTTGCATGTACAGTATATGAATAACAACTGACTGTCAAACTAGAGTACATTTTAAATTTCATGTTAAGAATTATAAAAAAATTGACAACCCAATGAATTAGCTATTGGTTATAAATAAAACAATCAAAGGTAAAAGTCTCTATCAGTATAGATTCACCACACACACACACACACACTAACTGAAGCACTCACCTGGTGTCATCAAATGGATAACTGGCAACAACTGAGCCTCCATGGAGGTTGCCAGATAAAACAAAAGGATTATTAACAATCCAGGCCATAACAGATAATGTTTCTGGTTCACGATTGGTATACATTTCTTCTTCTGATGGAAAATTCCACTGTGAAGGAAAATTGCGATTGAGATCAACACCATTGGCATTCTCTCGACCTGAAGCAATAAAGGCATCACAGGTTCCCTCCTGAAATGAAATAATGGGCTTAAGAATTGTAAATATATAAAAAGTACGAGACTTTGTTATTTAAGTAAAAGTATGGTTACATTGGCAAACTGTTACTCAAGTAGAAGTAAAAGTATCCAAAGTTCAATGTACCGAAGTAGAAGTAAAATAGTATCTCATTAATAAAGTACAGTACTGTACTCAAGTACTGTACTGAAAGTAAAGAGTAATGTAACAACAAAATTATTAATCATTTCGCATATTAAAATAAATCTCACAGTAAATTATAAAAAACTAGTTAACTAGAGATAAAAATTAAAAACACACAGCATTTCACTCACAGACAGCAGATGCAGGTAGTGGGGTGTTAAGCTAGAAAGATAAGTCACATACTGTTGGGAAAGATTTCAGTAGCTCCATTCTATCCCCTTGGCATGCCAAGTAGTTTTAAAGGAGTTTGCGGATGACTGTTCACTCCGTAGCACGGAATATGGAAACAGCAGAATGGGCGGTTTGGGCGCTTAAACTCTATGTTCGTCGCTTGGGTACATAGATGAAATGATATGAAAGAATGCGTGTGATTGGTCCACACGTAAAGAAATGCTTGTGATTGGTCACCTTCCAAGTTTATCCTTTTTCCTGTGATTGGATATTTAAAACTATTGTTTGGGGCATGTAACGAGTAACGATTTTTGTTTCTTCAATTGAACTGGAGTAAAAGTATTAGAAAACCTTACTTAAGTAAAACCAAAAGTACTGAATAAATTTAAGTACTTTTTAAAGAGTAAATACCCCCAAAAACTTACTTGATTACAACACTCAAGTAAATTTACTAAGTTACTTTACACCTCTGAGAACTTGTACATTTTCTGAGAGCGAGAGAGGAGGGAGAAAAACAAAAACATACTGGCCATATACTGTACTAGCCATATTCTCAAATGGCAACCACTGCAGATGCCATAAACTTACCATAATATACCAAAAAATAATCATAGTACAGTAGTTACATTTACTCTTATCCTCTCCGTCACGGATCGGCTTTTTAACTGCACGTCTCTGTTGACAAGTACAGCCACTCCTCGAATTACGACGGGGTTAGGGACCCAAATCCAGGTCGTAAGTCGAATTGGTCGTAAATAAAAAATGCGAAGATAATACAGTACATAGAAAATCTAAAATGGGTGTCTCTTTTTCTTCTCAGCACCACAAAACTCTCACTTTTAAGCATGCCAGCCATTTTAAAGGTAATTACAAATAAAAATTTTGTCAGTACACAGCGCAATCACTGATGTCGGGACTCGAAAATACGTAATTTGAAAAATTTTTGGTACGACTGGGGCGGTCGAATGTCCGTATGAGTTCAGTCATCAGGGACCTTGAGTAATTATGTTAAGCAGGAGCATCCCAGCATAACACCATGTTGGCAGTCCTTTACAAGGTTGTTTCGTAGTAAATATTCCAACATGATGCTCTCTAGTACTTTACACACTATGTTGGGTCAGGCTCACTGGTGTATAATTATTCATGGAGTGACGATCGCCCTTCTTGAATATTGGATTCACATAACCCATTTTCCAATCATAGGGGACTTTTTGCTCATCCAGGCATTTACAGAACAGGATCTCAAGGGGCTACACAAGCTCGTTACACAGTTCTCATAACACTTGGTGTGTACTTTATCAGGGCCAGGACCCTTATGAACCTTTAGCTTTGACAATTTATTTCTTATACCTTCTTCTGAGAACACAATGCGGGTCAGCACTGCGTCAAACCATCTTTCCTTAAACGCAGGAAGATTGTTCGCATCCACTCTTGTGAACACCGAGGAAAAGAATTTGTTCAACGCCTAAACCTTGTCCTGGTCAGAATCTACATAACTACCATCTTTAAGCCTCAGGTCCGATATGCCTACTCACCTTTTTAATTTTGACTTTGCATAACGGCAAAAAGCCTTCGGGTTTGACTGACCTCGGTTGCAATCCACCTCTAGAACTCTCTTTCAGTCCTTCTACACTGTCTTTCCTTGGTTCCTGGATTTGGCATTACTGTCCTGCTCATCATTTGTCCTATCCGACACCTCTAAATCCCGAGTTTTCTTTTTAACTTTGTCAATGGTCGCATGGTTCATGCGTAACAGTCTCCCTGTATTCCTCATCCCGTCCTAATTTCCTTTGTAATATTTTAGCCTAGATCTGTTTTTGTCATGAACCAAGTAACAGTTAAATCTGAAGGATAACGTTATGTAAAATTACACAATATCATAGCAAGTTCGTTCTGTTTAATATACCAGGGAGGTAAGGAAGTTAGCTAAGGTTAGGTTAGGTTAGGTTAGGTTAGGTTAGGTTAGGTTAGGTTAGGTTAGATTAGATTAGATTAGATTAGGTTAGGTTAGGTACATACACTTGATCTATTGACTCAGATTAAATTAAGTTTACCAATTTTTTTTTTTACTTCGTGACACCAAATACTAGTCGAGGTTAGGTTAGGTTAGGTTAGGTACATGCACTCGATCTATTAACTCAGATTAAATTAAGTTTACCAATTTTTTGTGACTTTCTGACACCAAATACTAGTCGAGAAGTGATAGGCAGTCCAATTTATTCATCTAGGACCATTATTTGACTTCATTCCAGCTATATTTGGGTACATTTGGGTAATTAGTCGGACCCGTGAAAGTGTCCTTGAATTTGGTATCATTTAACTTTAGGAAATAGAGCGCCCAAAAGTTATACACTACTGAAACATTTAGATCTCACTATTCTCAGCATTTTGAACCCATATATACAATGGCGGAAATGGATAATAGCGACACAATTGAATTTAATTGATTTTACGTAGTTTTCAGTCTTTGTCTGTGAGGAAATGTTACCAGCACATCCCGCATGCGCAATATTGACTGACATCATCCAGTCGTGACCAATGATGTATCGATATCATTTCGTGAATTTTTTTTGACCAATCACATTTGATTTTTTCAAAGGAAGCAGCCTGGGTAATTTCATTTACCAGTCTGACAAAGGCTGCGGTGGAGGTTGATTGTTTTGTACTCCTATGATTAATTTTAGTCTATTGCCGAGTTTTAAGTGAAAGACAACATTTTATCCAATTCTTAAAAAATCTCCGGTCCTTCCACTTTTAACTAAGATATTGTACTTTTGGACATGGTATGCCCCAAAGGTTTTAACTACTGAAACATTTAAGTTAGTTTGAGCTATGCCTACCGGGTGTCAGGTTAGGTTAGGTTAGATGACTCGTTTTAATTTTCTCCCCCACCCAAAAGCCCCGATTTCCCAAAGGCTCTCCCCCATTATTGTGTGGGGGAGGGGGGTAAAAAAAACGAGCAATTTCCGCCAAATATGAAGGTCATATTCTTTTAAAAAACACCAAAATACTGGAAAAACATATTGGTCAACCCCTAGGGACTCAAATCCTAAAGTAAAAATTTACCTTGAATTTTTTTCAGTTATAAAAAGGATGTCGTTACCTGTGCCTTCTCGAATCCATCTGGGTTCATGGAGGGCATGAGGTGAATCTCGGTGTGGTTGAGGAGGTTGACCACCCTGGGGTTGTTGTCGACATAGCCCTTGACCAGGTGCTGTGCCAGGGCCACCACCAACTCCCTGCCCACAGCCTCGTCCCCGTGCATGTTGGCCACATATTTGAACATAGGTTCCGTCTGTCCACGGGTCTCCACATTCTCGCTGATCTTGATTACTAAAAGATCCCGTCCTTGGATGGACTTACCAACACTATAATGTTGTACAAGATGTGGATGGTTTTTGTGGAGTGTTTCAGCCAGATTCACTATATCTTCATAATGGTGGTATTTTGATAAGTTAATACCATCCACAACTGATGGATCACTATTAGTTATATCTTGGCTACTTGATAATGCATTATTTCTAGTGATTAATACCACAAAACTTAAACATAACAAGAGAGTGTTCCAGCACCACACCAGCTCCATGGTAGTGATGACAACTCTCCTCACCACAGTCTGACCAACCACAGTCACTCACCCTATCTTTCACAAAGCTTTCTTTCTATTTCTAATTGAATTTTTCGTAATAGTGATTTGAACAGTTACAAATTTAACTAATCACGGAATCTGTTTTGTATCAATTGAGTTTTAAATATCACAAAAATATATACTTTCAAGAACGCAAGAAATTGGTATGGCAAATTACAGTTATATTTCTTTTTAATAGTTTGTAAATTTTCACGAGAAGTCCTAAAATTAACCTGTGTATGACAACAAATTAAAATACCAAGTTAAAATTTCAAAGGTTCCTAAACATAGAAAGAAAATAGAGATACTTCCTGAAAAAAAAGACTCATTCATGTGCCTGGCACCGAGTCCCACGTCTCATGGACCAGGGGCGACGAAAGGTTAAACACGTCATCTTACCGCTGATCCGTATACTTTAAAACTAATATATCACACTACTAATTACTTCATTTAAGAAAAGAATTAGATTTACTTGATCACATCAATGAATGAATGAAAGCTAAGGAAAAGATAGCAATAAATCATCTATTCCATTGTAAATAATTTGATAACGTAGATAAGTAAGCAACAGCGGATATCAATAGATAAATACAGAAGTTTACTCTGAATTTTTCCAATTTTGTTGTTCGAATCTCCACTTCATTATATATATATATATATATATATATATATATATATATATATATATATATATATATATATATATATATATATATATATATATATATATATATGAAGGTAAAAAACCACACTTCATGGAGACTTAAAGTTTATTTTAAACACCAATACAGTTTCGGCTCATCACGAGTCCTTCTCAATTGGCAATGACAGAGACTTACACAATATGTATACACGTGGACAGGGCCGGATTCAGGAGTGGACAAAGTGGGCAGCTGCCCAGGGGCCTCCACAATCTGGGGGCCTCCACATATTACATCTGACCTTGGACTTAAACAAGCCTATACATGCTTTCTTGGACAAAACCATTATTTGAGTAGAGGTTTATCTGATTAATAATGCAAAGAATCATCTCTCTATAATAACTAATAATATATTCTTTTCTGTGAAGTCTCTTGAAAATTTTTGACATGTGCGGTAGTAGCTATATCAGGGCTGGTCGACTTGAAACCACATGAATGACTCCAGTCATGTCTCACTTTTGTGTGTGTGTGTGTGTGTGTGTGTGTGTTGGGAATTTGTACACTATCAATAAATATACAGTTAATTAAAAATTTCTCAATGTTCTAATTTCCTCAATATAACTGCATATGGCTTCAAAATTCTCCAAAGAAGTGTTAAAATTCCAAAATTTTCCCGGGGGGCTTACAGCGCCCCCCGGAACTCCCAGATGTTTAGGCTCGCTTCACTCGCCACCCCACCCTCTTGGGTAGTTATAATGAGGGGGGGGCCTCCACAAAGAGGCTGCCCATGGGCCTCCACAAGTCTAAATCCGGCACTGCACTTGGAGGCTGACTGACCCCACCAACCCCCATGGGACTGTCGCTATGGATGGTAAGGTCACGGTTGCGATGGTGACGTAAGCCGTCAGGTCATATTAACTAGTCAACATGTAATGTGTCCGAGGTCACTGGGTCTAGTGCTGGGCCCCGCGGGGCCCCCACACGCGTGGGGCCCCGGGCGGTCGCCCCTGTTCGCCCCCCCCCCCCTTAAGGACGGGCCTGTATATAGGAAGCATAATGTATTGTAGTGGATACTCTCCCCTACAACTACCAGTCAATCAGCTTACAAGTAATAGAAGCTCCTTTCTTCCAAGTTTAGAAGCTGCCATTGTTGGCCAACTTTCCTGACCGGACCATCGACCACTGACATCGTCGACAACTTCTCACGAGCGTTTTCGGTTTATCGAGCATTAGCTTTGCCCTCCCCACTGGTGGTGTGAGTGACCCACACTCCAGCTGGAGAGCAGCTATAGCGCGATATTCCCGACGTGGTTTGAGCTCTTTTCCTTCTACTGCTATCTTTCCCTTTTTCGCTCTGGCCTAGGGACCTGCACCCTCAAAAGAGTATTCGCATAACAATATCAGGATCTATTTGGAATATTTTCAATCATCTTTTGGTGTTGTCTGGTGGTGGTGATGATGTAGCCTCTGTCATCTGGTGGTGGTGGTGATGTAGCCTCTTGTCATCTGGTGGTGGTGGTGATGTAGCCTCAGTCATCTGGTGTTGGTGGTGGTAATGTAGCCTCAGTCATCTGGTGGTGGTGGAGGTGGTGCTGATGTAGCCTCCTGTCATCTGGTGGTGGTGGTGTATGCCCTCTGTCATCTGGTGGTGGTGGTGAAGTAGCCTCCTGTCATCTGGTGTTGGTGGTGGTAATGCAGCCTCAGTCATCTGGTGGTGATGGTGGTGGTGGTAGTGGTGGTCATCTGGTGGTGGTGGTGAAGTAGCCTCCTGTCATCTGGTGGTGGTGGTGGTGATGTAGCCTTCTGTCATCTGGTGGTGGTGGTGAAGTAGCCTCCTGTCATCTGGTGTTGGTGGTGGTAATGCAGCCTCAGTCATCTGGTGGTGGTGGTGGTGGTGAAGTAGCCTCCTGTCATCTGGTGGTGGTGATGTAGCCTCAGTCAGCTGGTGGTGGTGGAGGTGGTGCTGATGTAGCCTCCTGTCTGGGGTGGTGGTGGTGATGTAGCCTTCTGTCATCTGGTGGTGGTGGTGAAGTAGCCTCCTGTCATCTGGTGTTGGTGGTGGTAATGCAGCCTCAGTCATCTGGTGGTGGTGGTGGTGGTGGTGGTAGTGGTGGTCATCTGGTGGTGGTGGTGAAGTAGCCTCCTGTCATCTGGTGGTGGTGATGTAGCCTCAGTCATCTGGTGTTGGTGGTGATGTAGCCTCCTGTCATCTGGTGGTGATGTAGCCTCAGTCAGCTGGTGGTGGTGGAGGTGGTGCTGATGTAGCCTCCTGTCATCTGGTGGTGGTGGTGGTGGTGATGTAGCCTTCTGTCATCTGGTGGTGGTGGTGAAGTAGCCTCCTGTCATCTGGTGTTGGTGGTGGTAATGCAGCCTCAGTCATCTGGTGGTGGTGGTGGTGGTGGTGGTGGTAGTGGTGGTCATCTGGTGGTGGTGGTGAAGTAGCCTCCTGTCATCTGGTGGTGGTGATGTAGCCTCAGTCATCTGGTGTTGGTGGTGATGTAGCCTCCTGTCATCTGGTGGTGGATATTTATGCCACTAGGACCTCTATCAAGTCATCTTCCAAGATGAGATTCATTTGGCTTTCCCTAATGTAGAAGCAATATTGTGGCTACTTTTCAGTCTAATAGTAACAAACTGCTCAGAAGGGTAAATTCTGTAGCTGAAAAGGATTAAGAATGAACTAACATCAATGCTGTGAGAAAAGTTCTCTGCATTAAGCAATATGTGAATAGAAAATGAAAAATTTGTAGCTTATCATTGGTGACTTCATCTATGACTTCGCTCTTGGGAAACTACGAAATAAAATGTTTTAAATTTTATGTGATGCTCAAACAGAAGAGACAGTGCCAGTTGTAGTACTGTTTCTATTTACTAAGGGTGAAACTGTTTATTTCTTTATATAATAGTAGGAGTAACCGGAGAACAGATTATCTCGACTGTTACTCAACTCCAGTGTGACGAATTGTCACGTATACTGGTGAAGTTGCTGGAAATTACTTGCAATCCAGTGGTCCTATTGTTCCCTAGTGGTGTATTTTTCTTTTTTCTCGACTGGTGTAATAATTAGACTCAGAGGCAGTATTTTCCAGCAGCGACCGCCTTCTCTGTTACCAACACCAGCATGGCAGCACACATCCCACCTCCCAACACCAAGAACACTCCCTGTGGGAAAAAAAGCATCATTATATGATCCGGATACCTGAAGAATAGTCCCCAGCTTATTTCACCTTAAGAATAATGTTTAACGTACGAAGTGTTTGATAATGATGGTGTAACTTGTACCTGGATGTGCTGGAGGGTGAGGGGGTTGATGCCTTCTGCCCCAACGTCGGTGTTAGAGGAGAGCTGTGTGGCAGGGCCTCGTGCCTCCTGAAGCACCTCCTTGAAGAACTTGTCCACCAGTCCTGCCTCACGCATGCGCTGGATCATCTACACCCATTAAACGTATGGTAATAATAATAATGGTCATGAGATTTGTTGGTCAATATAATCATATACAGAGCTAATTGTAATATACAGTAGTTCATATGATTTCATTATGTATCTTAAACATACAGTGAATCAGGTTATACACAAATAAGCAACACAGAATCAAAAGAGACCGCATCATAAATATCTTAAAAATAGTGAGTCAAAACACAAACAAACGAGCAACACATAATCCCAAGAGACCGTGTCAGCAGAGGACTTGAGCGGGGAGTTCCTCTTGAGCATGACGCCCACACCGAAGGGGTTGATACATTCCTCCAGCATGAGCCTCACTGAGGACTCACCCACACGGTTGGTGAGGAAGGTCTTCTGCAGGTACTCCAGATGTTTGGTGTTCTCTAACAGCACCCCTTGACGGGAGATGATACTCCTGAAGAGGGAAGACATATCTGACACACGAAGGAACTGAAGAAACAGAAATCAGTACACAAACTATGTTACAAGGGACAGAAATAAAATAACTTGTGGATAATGCAAACCAATACAGTATATGCTTTTAAAAACCTTATACTGTATAATATTTATATCAGTGCAGTGCAGTGCAGTGCAGTACACATATTTAAATTAATATGACCCAAAAGTGAGAACCGTAGCTTAATAGCATAATAATCAGGTATTTGTTTTCCTTACTGGAGAAATTTGGTGACGTTATCGAAGCGGAAGAATTTCTGACTAAGGCTACGGACATCCTGATTGGCTGAACCCTGGAAAATGGCCAACCAGAAGTCGCTGTATCCGCCCACCTGTAGCTCACTCTGACAACCACCACAACAACAACACCATACAGTACTATAAAATGACTGGAAGGGATGGTTAGTGTAGTCTTGAGGGAATATTCATTATATGCTGGAAAAAATATTCAGAGCCTGACATCACAAACTGAAATAGTGAAATATAACGGTAGCTTGATGGTTGACACTTCTAGCTATACGGAAATGGTTACTTATAAACATTGTACAATATTCATGGCAGGACCTGGACGATCTGGCGGATGGAGGTGTAAGGCTGCTCCACGGCCCTCACCATCATGAAGGCCGTCAGGTTGGAGGAGTAGAAGACGGACACCACAAAGCCACACATCATGATGAACCCCACCAACACCTGCCCAGGGACACATGGCTGTCAGCACAACAACATGGTAGAGGATATTACAGGTAGGTGTGGGATGCGATCAGCAGATATGTTAAGGATACAAGAAGGGTATATGGAATAATGAAAGGAACGAATAAGTACAAAAAGAAACGTAGTTATCAAAATTTTCGTCTCTTCACCAATGGCAGAGCGATGGATATTACACAGGGTTCCATCCGTCCAATAGCATTTTTTTTTATTCATTAATGTCAACTAACTTTATTGGCATTTAATCAAATCCCTTACAGAAATGTCTTGGAATATATTCGAAATTTAGTGAATTCCAGTGATAATTTAGGGAGTTGTGATCTTCATCAGTATCTAACAAATACATAATCTTGAGTACGGAATTCGGGGAAATGTCCTAGCGTGGATAGAAGACTTTCTACATGACCGCAAGCAGTGTGTGGTGATTAGTGGCACGAAATCGTCATCTGTACCTGTCACAAGTGGGGTACCACAGGGCAGTGTATTGGGCCCGCTGTTGTTTGTTTGTTTCATAAATGACATGCCTGACGTTGTACACTCCTCCATACAAATGTTTGCTGATGACGCCAAGTTATTTCGGGAAATTAAGAACCAAGCGGACTGTGAAGAACTGCAGAAGGACCTCTGTGGGCTCCAGGAATGGTCGAAGAAATGGCTGCTGAGATTCAGTGTCACGAAGTGTAAGAGGATGCACCTGGGGCGTACCAACGGTAAGGAGGCATATCATATGTCCCAACGGGATGAAGAAACTGCACTAGTTGAGACTGTGTGAGAAGGACCTAGGTGTGTATGTTGACAATGAGCTGAAGTTCTCGGGCCATTGCGAGAAGAAGGTAAATCAGGCAAATAAATTATTGGGTCTTATAAGAAGGTCGTTCAGATATCTAGACGGTCCGTCCCTCGTAACGATCTTCAGGAGTGAAGTGCTTCCCCATCTGGAGTACTGTCACCCCATCTGGTCCCCGAGATATGCTAGGGACTGTCAGTTGGTTGAAAATGTTCAAAGGAGGGCCACCAGACTGGTGCCTGCACTTCGGCACCTCAGCTACCCTGAGAGATTGGAGTGCAAGGGGGGACCTAGTTGAGGTGTATAAGCATCTCGGGGGCACTACTCAGTCGAGTGTCCTTACTTGGAGCTGGCGGACGCTCGCCTCACAAGGGGACACAGCTCAAGATTGAAGAAGCCACAAGTCCAGAAAACTGTGAGGGCAAACTTTTTCGGAGTGAGAGTTGTAAACTCTTGGAACAATCTACCAGAGAGTGTTGTGACGGCACCGAGTGTGAGCTCTTTCAAGACAAGACTTGACCAACACTGGAGCGGGTTCAGGTACATTCAGGAGCCGGTGCATGTCCAGTATTTGCCAACAGTGCGTGACAGAGACGTGACCGATCGCCCGGGTGGCTAGCGAGCCGATCTTTTGGTGAAGAAGATAAATGAAAAGGAGAAGTAATCAGAGACGTGACCGATCGCCCAAGCGGCTAACGAGCCGATCAGTGGCGAAGAGGATAAAAGTAAAAGTAAATATTGTCTAGCAGCTTCAACTTATAAAAAATCAACAAAATACGCCCCTGTAACATTACAGTAGTTGAAATTATCACTTACCATTAACATATCATCTGTGTATGTGTGTGTGTGTGTGTTTGAGTAATGAGGAACGGACCTGCATGGGGGTACGTGCTGGCCGGCGCGTCGATTGGTTGGAGAACTGCGCCAGGATGAGGAGGAAGGAGGCGGAAAGTGAGTGAAGTTCCTGGTAGTCCCTCACCATTAACCCCGCCCCAAACACTGGCACCAGCACCGTCAACCCCAAAACACTCCCTGTCGTCATAAGAACATAAGAATGGAGGAAACTGCAGCGGGCCTATTGGCCCATACTGGGCAGTCCCATTTACACCCAACCCCCATTGCTCATATATGCATCCATCCTATGTTTGAAGCTATCCAGCGTGTTCGAGTTAATGATGATATTTGGTAACTTGTTCCATTCATCCACTACTCTGTTACCAAACCAGTGTTTACCTATTTCGAGCCTAAATCTAAATTTGTCTAATTTAAAACCATTGTTACGAGTTCGCTGTTGACCTTTATGTGCTTATACCGAGACAATTATTCTAGTTTCCTTATACTGTACTCTAGCAAGTTGATGTACAGTATACATTCTAGGATAGAAACCGGTCTCCTTTATTTACACTTCATCATGCTCGAGTCACTATATACAGGGACTCTACGCCATGCAGGTTAGATAAAGTGGTAACATTTCCAATTTTGAGGTTTAATTTCATCATACACTATTATGATAGTTAGCATAGCACGAAATGATATACTAATGAGACTAAAAAAACGAATGTTGTGAGGTCACTGACCCACGAGGAGGATCCAGACGTTCAAGGTGAAGGGGAAGGACACAGCCATCCAGGTCGGGAGTGGACGGGGCGCCGGGGTTATGAAGCAGGCACGCTCGAAGTCGAAGGGGACCGTGAAAGTGATGTAACGTGCCCTCACCTCCGTCAGGAACACATTGCCTATCCCCATCTCCGAGTCGTCCGTGTGAACCTGACCTAAAGATGGGCGGTGGATGTTGGGATAATACATTTTCTAGAAATAAAAACAACAAACAGACACGTTTCTACACACGCCGCCATCTTAGTTATTGGCAAAACAGTCGCTACTGACCGCCGCTACCCAAGCACCAAATGTTCTCGAAAGGCTCTTATAAATGGTCAGTGGTAGGAAAGAGCAAATTGTGGTTCTATTTATTAATAAAATGAATTGTTGTACGACTGATATACACAATTTAAATAAATGCATGTAGTAAATCCTTACAATCAACATAATGTAACTTTATAAGTTTAACCTTATTGCCTACTAAATGCAAGTTTGACGACTCATTTTATTTGTAGCTTGTAACCTTGAGGTGAAGTATTTACCACTGTATGTATACCTCACTTGTATACATCTCTGTAACAGCTTCACTTAACAAAAGCATGTGATTTTCTAGTGGACAGTCTCCAACATATGTTGAGACAAATCAGGATAAAACCCAGAAAGCCAGCCTCTCCAGCCACCTCCCAAAGCCAACATGACTGCCGTGAGTGAAGAGTGGCTTTACTGTCCATGGCTGACGCCGTCTCCTCTCATAAAACCTCCTTGGGATGACGTAAACCGCAAAATCTGAAACATCTAACATCAAAGGACTGTATTATGTGTTACCACAGCCTGTCATCGTTGTCCAAGTCATTGTAAACATCCTTAAGAACCAGTCAACTTACCGACCATGCCGGTGGCGGTGCCGTTGGGAAGAATGGATCCCCAGAGGTCAGCACCCGGGTCGTGGAACACTGGCGTGAAGTTGAGAGCCCTGCCCAGTCCCTGCACCACCTGTACACGTCACACGTCTTCAGCATCACTTAAGTTTCTCTGTTTTGCTCTCACTGTTGCACATTATTAACACCATAAATATCAGTCAAATTTAATGTTTTATTTTTCTGAGCACAAGGGAGACCTATCCTAATTGTTACACATTAAACATGTCTGACATATATATATATATATATATATATATATATATATATATATATATATATATATATATATATATATATATATATATATATATATATATATATATATATATAAGGACAGTGTGGATAAGAACACTGCAGGACAAGCCTTTGTTACACAAGCAGGCAGTATGGCCAGCACTGCACTGGACCACCTTCATCTCACCAACTGTAAAATTAGGTACTAAACAAATAATTTACAGTTGGGTGAATTGTAGATACTTTAGGTTCGAATCAGCGACACTTGGGACTGTATTCACTCGGCCGCCACACATTATAGATTACACCTTAAGTACTACAGGCAGTCACTGTTCATAAATATTGACCAAACATGACAGAGTTGCTGAACATTACCTTGACGTCGAGGCCGGATACGTTGTGGAGAAGGCCCAGATGGTCGATAATGGAGAAGACGGAGGGGGCATGGTTGACAGCCAGCACCCGCACCTGCTGCCCTCTCAGGTCATTCACCTGCACATCAAACTTATTTGTGTACAGTATACTCTCGACGATGGTAACAAGTCTGTGTCCAGATGCTACCAAATGAAAGGACTCAAGATATTTAACTGCATTGAGAACATCCCTGTTAGGATGATAGCACTTGCTTGTCAAGTATTAAACATTCACGGGAACCAGTGCTGGAAGACGAAAGACACCAACGAACCCATGTGCTTTCCTTACTTAGTGTACGTAGTGAAATTATTATTTACAAATATACTCGAAGTAGATTCACAGGATAGATCCACATGAACAAAGTCCAATCAATAATCCACACAAGTGGTACACAAGCCTGAATTCAATCGAGTTCGTTGGAGCAGCGAGACAACTACAGTAAGACCTCCCGGGCAACTGTTCTCTCTAACCTCGTTGACTGTTCCTTCCTCAACTCTCCCACCATACATTGTGGATAATAACATCACAGTTGCATTAACTGACATTCACAAATTCACAATAAGACAAACACAACAGTTACAAAAAATTACAATTCAGTTGATACCTAAAACTACTACAGCTAACATTAACATGCAATATATTAATAAGAGTAACAGCAATAGTTCCGAAGTTTAGACACCTTGTACAGTCTCACCCAAAAATTCGTTAACTCTCCCAGCCAGCTATTGCTGCACTGCCTGCTTCAGATGTATGAACTTGAGGCTGTTACTTCGAACCTTTAGATTCATTCGTATCGGTTTCATGTTCTGGTTGGTACCGAGACAGTTTCAAACATCTGAAGCAGGCAGTGCAAAAATAGCCGGCTGGGAGAGTTAACAAACTTTCGGGTGAGACTGCACAAGCCAACTTCACACCCAACAACCATTTAGATAATTACGTATTATACCATATAATACACAAAAACTCGCTGTCTTTAACAAATTATATAGATTAGCATAACATGACATACGTTGGGCTATATATATATTACACAGAACCCATGGGATTTCCGTAGTCAAATCTGCCACTAAGAAAATATCAAAGATCGTGAAACGAGACGTATTAATATTTTAGTGGCATTACCTTGTTAGGAAATAAGTCGACCATCTTGACGAAGCCACCATCTCTCCACAATGTTAACAACTTTAGAGAACGCTTGCTGTACATCTTATGAGTGTAAACAGCTAACTCACTATCACTTGTACCACGTCTGTAGAAAGAGGATAAAAGTACTGTATTTAAAATAAAAAGATGTCACATGCAATACATTAAAAAGCAAATGTTTCTAATATTTTGTTACGTCCATGTCTTAAATGTAAAGAATGAAGGTGTCGATTCGGCTTCATTAAAAGTCTACATATAGTTTATATATTAGAAAGAGGATCTCCTCGAGTGATATGGACATACATAAAGAACAGAACGTCGGTAGTTTTCTGAAGTTTGTACGTGACCGCCAGTCTTTGTAGATCATTGGCCGAAGAAGAGCTGGTGAACATGAGGTACCGCCCCTGCCAGTCCCAGGAGTCGTCGTCCGTATCCAGTAGATCACTCAGCACCAGCAGCCTCTAACCGACACACAGATGGAATGCTGGGTAAATGTCTACAATATGAGCAGGTTCAGGTCAGGTTTACAGTACAGAGTTCGACTGCAGCTAGAGTTAACTTAACCTTATACAGTACATAAAATCCGCTATTAATAAAGTCAGTCCACGAATCACATTTTATAACATTAATCAGTACCTTGGCGACGATGACATAGACGTCGCAACTGGTACTGTGCCAGGCTGGTCTCACATCGTCCCCACCACCAACAGACACCACCTGAAGATCACATTCAGTCCTTCAAGAAGTTTCTTATAACAGTACTGCTCATATCTAATGTCTTAAACAATTTAATTTAAAATAATGAAAACAACTATTAAGGATGATCCGATGTAACCCATCACTAGAAGCTGGTATGATGGCGTCTTCACCCCTGACCCACCTGGTAGGGTCGACTGTGGGTTATCATGAGGGCCACTAGGAAGGGTGTGAGGGCGGCGGAGAAATCATCATGGACAGAGATGATGGTGAAGGAGCAGCCTAACAGTTCCTGTTCCATCAGTGTGGCCAGAACCTCTCTACACGACCATACCTGCCCAGAGGTGAATATGTCGGTCATGTCACCAACTCTACTGTTACCCCAACAACCAAGAAAAACGTATTTGTTCTTTTAGCCAAGAATCTGTCTTGTGAATAGAAATATGTGAGCATCAAGGGAAAGTACCTCAAACTTGTGCGTTACTTTTTTACTTTGCGAAAACAATAACATATACCTGGGCATGATATGGAGTCTGGTAGGTGTGTGGCGGAAGTGTGACTGCCACTGTTACCCGTGAGACAGCAGCCAACAGGAGCAGAGCAGCACTCACACACATTATTCACTGGTGACAATATGCCTATCACTTCACTCGTGTCAACAGAGTACATTATTGACAGAAAAAATTATACTGGTGCAAAATTATAGTAATTGACAATGTTTCAGATCACACACATTATAGATATAATTTTGTTTATGTCGGTAAGCTGGTGAAATTCATTGATAGTTCATAAATCAAGACAAAAATCATTCGGTGTAACTTTTATATACATATACGGCATTCATGGTGACGTCACTTTTAAATCATTAATAGAGGTACTGTACAGGTAAATCATATCAGAACACATGAAAGCAAAAGCCAACACCGGGTCTATAATGGTTAGGACTGGGTGCTGAAATGTGGAACATGAAGGAAAATCGGTGTTTTGCCACATTGCTTCGTCTAGGAGTCATATATGTCTATAAACAAATAAACACTAACATGACAGCCCTAAGTGCTATAGTCAAATGATCTACTAATACTTTCAGGACGAGAGGGAATCAGGAGAGCCGTCACCTCACCTGCAGTGTGGTGGTGTGGTGGCTAGTGAATGGGTGATGTGCTCACCACCCACACACTTAAGGCTCAGTCCAACCAGACAAAGACTAGTGACGCCCTCTGAATACGGCATAAGGATGTTAGCGAGGCTTTAGAACAAGTGGAAATAGTTCTTGCGAGGCGATGAAGCGAGTTGGTTCTTGCATTGTATAAAAAACAATTTGTGACTAAAACGATTTACTTTTCAGCAGGAATGGTTTTGGAGAGTAAAGGCCAAACTAACGTGGGTAACTGAGTGGAGTGACACTTCAATTTAGTGACTTCAACTGTGACTGACGTGTGGGACCCGCCCTTCAACTATCTCCTGACCACAATCTCTTTGTTTTCTGTGAGAAGCTCAGAAGCATTATATTGAGATGGTAAAAAAAAAAAAAATAAAGCTACTCCCACCGAATGCCGGATCTCTTAACGACACCTAAAACTTAACGAACATACCTCTCCGAATTTCCAGCAAGAGCACGGTGTTAGCATGAAGATATACCAACTACGGGTTTGTTTTGAGTGTGTTATCAAATGAGTTTACTACCAAAGATGTATACTTTATAAAAAAAATAAAATCAATATTTTGGTGCACCTCATGATCCAATTAGGAACTTAAACAAATGGAAAACAAATTGTGTACTGTATTTAGGAAGTAACATTAGCTGTGATGGACGGTAGATGTGCAAAATTAACAGTAGAATGCCTTTAATAATTAAAAACTGGATTCCCAGACACAAAATCTTGGAGGGTTGGTAAAAACAACCGGAAAACGTTTAGAATGGAGGAACATGGTCGCCAATCCTCAGGTATGAGGACGGTACTGTACTCGATTGATACCGTATATAAAACATCACCCAGAATACACTACATGGTGATGCTGTTATGGAGAACACAATTTTCTCAACGAAAACTAAGAAATCCTACATCGATTGAAAGCATCCTGTAATTGACCTGTCAATTGTGCGTCTCGCTTAGAAAAATCTTCAGCGGTCATTTTTGTCGACGTTTCTTCAGAGGATAATTAGCGTGTTGAAGCGCAGTAATAACATTATAACAATCAGGGTGTTCATTTACTAGTTGGTGCTTGACAAAACCACACTATTGTACAGTCACCCAAGAAAGTCCTGTCGCGAACCATGAACCCCGAGATCCAAGAGTCTCTCGGGGGTTCATGGTTCGCGACAGGACTTTCTTGGGTGACTGTACATGATGACAAACTTTGAGATATTGCCAACTTTACAACACATTCTAAGTGCTTCTATAGGATACATCTTCATCATTATTGAAATTCGTATTCTACTCTATACCATTAGTGTGATCCTCAGCTGGTAAAGTAAATAAATACCACATCCACACTTCATCCAGTCATAAAATAATCTAAAATATCCTTTGACTATTTTATAATTTAGGTTATAATTGGTTTGGACAACTTATTTACAAAGAAAAAATACAAGAAAATATTGAGTCCCATTTGCAGTACAATAACCTGGGCTTGTTATGGTGGGTCATGGCAGCGGCACACAGTCAGCTGATTACTGTCAACATATCCTTAAAACTTCCACAAATTACTATATTCCGTTCGAAATGCGTTTTTATTTAGAATTTCAACACTAAAGTGAGTCTTACTGATTAATTACACATCTATAATGCCTTATACTAGGAGAGCCACCTTAAGATCTAGAACCTAATGGTGTTAGTGGTGTTCATAAGCAATTTCTCAGTACTATAAGTAAACTCTCACCCAATTATGCGATATAAATTCTAGTGTTCATATTTATGTGAACCATTATACTTACTAGCTAAAATCAAATATACAGTCCCTAATATGTATTAGAATGTTGGTAATGCTCTGGAACTATTATTTTCTTACCTCACGAATACTGTATTCAAAATAATAGGAAAATTTGATGTTTTTGTATTTTTTCCGGTTATTTTCGTCATGAAGACTCAGGAACTACCTGTACAGTACATGATTTATCAGATAAGTGAGCCAACCTAGCCTAGCTGAGTTAGGTAGTCCAGGTTAGGTAGAATAGGTAGGTTCATCTTATAATTCATGCGTCAAATTTGGAGATATTCCTCGATATGAAATGATTACTGAGAAGCTTTCATGTGTATGAAATAGTCAACATAACAATTAAAATGGCTGCTAGGCTGTTGGTGGACGTAGATTTGTGTTCGGAATGAAAAAATTACCGACTAATATCACTGTACAGCTGTTAAAACTTTTTTATTGGACAGATATTATCTTACAGATATGGTAAAATCGGACATAAATTCATGTTTTTGTCAGCTGCAGCACAAAAGGTGCATAGGTAACAGTGGTGAAGGAGGAAAGAATGTAACTTTTGCATCAGGAGAAAAAGCAAGTGTTAAGGCGGCAATCCTAAATTAAAACATCACCTTTAGGCCTACGCACATCTCTCATTTCTGCTGTCACATTTTGTACTGGTTTTGTCAACACCTAAGAAAATAAACACTACAAAAATTTACACATTCCTGAGATAAAACTATAACACGTAATAGCATTTACCTGCCCATCTACTGAGCTGGAGTGATGGGACATTGGACAGCTTGGAGGTACGAGGGAGAAAAATTTTTGATTGGCTGGGGATGAAGGGCAGATGGAACTGACATTTAACCACTAACACATTCTTGAATATCACAGAATTACTGAGCAGTGTATCCAGTTGGAGCTGCAAGCCAAGACAAAATCGAAGTACAGTACAGTACAGGTAATGATTAACCAAAAATATATATTACACCTGTACTGTATTGCTAGACATTCCAATACAGGGTACAGTATCAAGACAACTTAAGAAAAGGCATACAGTAACATATAATAAATGATACTGTACAGTTTCCTTTTCTCTATATTATACAGTTTTAATATTGAATACTTTTTTTATCTCAGAATCTACACCTAAGATGTCGGGGCTAGGAGGCAGCGAGGACGTGGACTCCAGCATTAAGGCCCAGTTAGAAGATGATGTGATCCGTGAAGCTCTCACCTCGGGAACGGACCTCAGACAATACTCCCAGTCTGTAGAAAAGGAACTCCGACAGGTTAGGGATTAGAAAGCCTGTGAATGATATAGAGTCCATATTTTAAGAATATATCTTTATTATTAACAGTGAATATAGAATAATGAACAAGATATAAATGTCAACTTGGCAGGGTGTTTAAGGCATCAAAAAATATTTAGTAATGTGCACTGTATATAAATTTAATGTATATAATGCTTAGAACTGGAGTTAATACTTGAAAAATATCAATAATGTGGAAAATATTTTTTAATTAAGGTACTGGGAAGCCTTCTTTTTGATGTGCAGTAATCATAAAAGTCTGTCAATCAAAGTAGGGTATTTAAGCTTTAAGTACATTTAAGTCTTCTTTGTGTTCCAGCTTGAAAATCTAAGCATTCAGGATTACATCAACAAGGCACAGAACATAGCTACATTGCATCATCAAATAACAGAATGTGACTCTATACTAGAAGTAAGTACAAATATTCGTTATTCTGATGGAATGCAAAATTTTTGCAATATATTGTTTCTATAATGTTATGTACAGTATTGATTTATATTATTTCAGGAGTAATCTAAGTGCCTGCTGTAAGATAGGTAACACTATACTGTATGTTCCGCATTTTATACAGAAACTGCTACATGTTGCAGTCAGCTGTTTCTCATCATCCCTGTATAAATGAAGCTAAATGTCCATTCCCTTTTATTCGTCTTATAAAAGCATAACGTGTTTTTTACATCTCCTAGAATATGCAAGGTATGCTGGAAGGCTTCCTGACTCACTTATCCACAATTAGTAAGGAGATACAGTCTCTCCAAGAGCAGTCAGCCACAATCAACGTCCAACTGACCAACAGGAAGCAAGTTCATTCCGAGATGTCCGGGTTCATTGATCAACTCATGGTCCCGGAAGTTATGATTCAGTAAGGCTGCTTTGGTAATACAGCTCCTCCCCGACTTACAACCTACTCAACTTAAAACCTACTCGACTTACGACCACCCGCACTTACGACCTGCCTCCGTCGTAACAAAATTTTGTCAAATTACGTATTTTCGAGTCCCGACATCAGTGATTGCACTGTGTACTGACAAAATTTTCGTTTGTAATTCACTTTAAAATGGCTGGCAAACTTAAAAGTGAGAGTTTTGTGGTGCTGAGAAGAAAAAGAGAAACCCATTTTAGATTTTTTATATATTATTTAAGCATTTTCGACTTACGACCTAGATTTGGGTCCCTAACCCCGTCGTAAGTCGGGGAGGAGCTGTACTGTACTGTGTTTTAATTAGAGATCAAATCTGGCTTCCATTAATTTTTTTAGGGAAACTTGCCATCAGTCCAAATTGTGTGGATTGACATTTTGTAAATTGTTATAAGAATCGGTGGTAAGTTTATAGTTCCTTGGTAATCAAGCTTACACTCACCCAGACAGTAAGTGTGACCTTAAACTCATAGTCTTTGATATGAATACAAAATCCCCATCCTTCATGATGCCATTAATTTTGGACTGTGAAATTTTATGATGATATTTTTTAGGTTTTAGCTGTGAATATTAGATTTGGTCTCTAGAAAATATGGGATAGATTATGTATTATCTGGCAGCTTTCTTTATACAGTACAGGTATTACCTAATATCTTCAGGAATAAATATGTAAGGTTTAGTTATGTAATATTATACCAGCTGTCAAAACTGGGTACGGGTATACTGAATTTTTCATTTTTTATCGAGACTATTGTATAATTTTTGCTTTTGTGTTTACATCAGCCACATACTCAGTACCCCGGTAACTGACGAGTTGTTCATGCAGCAGCTTAAGGCGCTCAATGAGAAGAGCAAGTTTATCAAGGAACAAAATTTTAGAGGTCAGTGCTGTTTATATTTATGTATACAGTCATCTTTCAATCCATTTCTTACTTAATGCAAGTGAATGGAAACATGAACAAATACATATACTGTACTGTACAGCACTACATACTTGTACCTGTATATCCACAGTCTCTCTTCATTCATTTTTATTCATTTATTATTACTCTTGTAAAAAGTATGTATTCTGCCTTGTTACTCCCCTTCTATAACAAGGCCCCACTAAGTAAGGTGATAATCCTCTTTATCTTCATTACTTCTTTCATGTAAAAAGAAAATTCTGCAATGATGATGACATATGATTTTTAGCTAAAAATAAATTCCATTTCTTCAGATGCCCATTCCTGTCAAGATGTTCAAGATATTGTAGATAAACTCACAGTAAAAGCAGTAAGTAAAATTCGAGACTACTTACTGCAGAAGGTTTACCAGTTCCGCAAACCTCTCTCCAACTACCAGATACCACAAAATGCAATGATTAAGCACAAGTAAGTACTAATTCTTTGTTTTATTACTTTCTGGGACGTATACTGTACATTATTGCTTTTGTATTGTATATTCTGTAACCATCTCATTTAACCTTAAAAAATTTACCATCCACAAAAATTCATTTTACGAACAATATAATTAAGACTTTTTTCACATTCATATCTCCTCATGTAGCTTTTGCTCATGATGGCATTAGGTTAAGAAAGATGAAGTCAGTCAGTGTTGTTTATGCCTCATGTACTGTAGGCAGATATGGTTAGATTAATTATCAAGTGGTGTCCCCAAACATTAACCATTTGCATCATCAGCCATCTTCACCAAGAAATATTTACACCACCAACCATCTACATCACCAACCATCTGCATCACCAATCATATACTGTACATCACTAGTCCTCCACATCACCAACCACATGACCTTTTTTATTTCCTATATATTCTGTTACTGTGATACTTCCTTCAATCTGTGCCATGTACTTCAATACGTAACTTAAATAATATGGGAATTACTGTATATTTTTTTTTGGATATTCTTGTTACTGTAATGTACTAGGCGTCTTCTATAGTTGTATCTGATATTTACCGTTTTTCAGGTTTTTCTTTGAGTTCCTGCTCCTACATGCAAGAACAATAGCCGCAGAAATTCACGACGAGTATGTGGAAACAATGAGCAAAGTCTACAACTCATACTTCCAGTCTTACACAAAACAACTGTGGAAGTTGCAGGTTTGTTCCACACTATTAGTACCTGACCCGGCTATGTTATATCTAATATTTCATAATTGGAGGAAACTAAATCAGAGTCTGGTACTGTATAAACAATGGGGAGGTAGAGTCATGAAGACCAAATACTATTATAGAAGCCGAGAGATTAAATGTTTTTAAGAAGAATGTTGTACGTTGTAACTTACCAGTGGCATTTTGTCTAAACATTTTAAAGTTTCTCCATTACATTTGTACTAGAAGCATATAGTAAATACTTTTAAGAATTGAAGTTGGCTTTATCATGACCAAGAGTTGTACGTAATCACTTTAATCATGGCATATCTTTCTCATTTACATATGATTGAATAATACCTTTACAGTATGAGGAAGGAGTGACTCGTGATGACCTCATGGGTGTGGAAGACTCACGCGCCAACAGCTTCTTCACAAAAAGCCTAAAGAGTCGAGGGACCGTGTTTACACTGGGTACTCGAGACTCAGTGCTTTCTCCAGCTGGCCTTATTCAGGATATTATTGTACCTCACACTGCTGGCAAGAGTGAAACCAAGGTTGGAAGAGTTTTTATACCCCAGACAGATGCCAATGGATATACTGTATAGTACTGAATGGTCCTAAATCAACTTGCATATATGTATGCAAGAGATCATCCTTATTCCACATACATTTTCAATATTTCCTACAAGTCTGTTCCATCTGCTTTATCATGTGTGTTTTCAGTCTTTAAATGCCAAACAAATTCTACCCCTTCTCTAGAAAGTTTTCATACCTATTCATTAACATTAGAAATTAATCATTAATTCTCATCCTTTTATGAAACCAAACTTTTCTTCTAGTATCTTTGTTTTTCTTGCAATTGCCCCCTCAGTAAAACCTCCAGCATACACTTTTCCTGCTATGCCCAACAGACATGTTCGTCAATCATTTTCACATTTATACTTATTAACTTTTCCTAAATACTGTACAGAGAAACTATATACAGTATGCTTGTTACCATTCCTTTGGTACACCTTTCCTTCAATCATACATACCCTACCCTGCTTATTCCTGTCATCTATTGTCACTCTTCCACTTCCACCTCAACATTTCAACAGGGATTTGTAAAGTATTGCCTAATTCTGAAATACTGTTCCCACAGTATGCATTTGAGGTGCTGTTCAGAAGTCAACAATATGCACTGATGGACAACGGGTGTCGAGAGTATATCTTTCTCACCGAGTTCTTCATGGTACGAGACAGTGATGCGTTAAAGCTGTTCATGACTGTGATGGGCAAAACGCTCCAACATGTTCAGGTTTGTTTCTTTTGTATTCAATTACAATTGCCTAAAATGCCTAAGACTTTCATATAAAAACAAATTAGATTAAATATAATAAAGTGAAATGTAATAATAATTAAACACACATACACACACTCGTTTTCTCTTATTTGCTTTATTTTGCAGTTACACACTTTTATTACCACCAAATGATGAGATTGCATGTCATGATTCACAGTTGCGTTGATCAAATGGCCATGCAAAATTCAAAGTGACTCGAGTCCTCCATTTGTCTGATTTACTATATATAGCGATTACATCAATTTGCAGAAAGAGGTGTGTGGTGTGGTTATGGGATGCTACGACTCTATAGCATTGTATCTGTGTGCACATCTCATTCATCAGTACCGACTTCTGTGCCACAAAAGGGCAGTTCCTGCTTTAGATAATCATTGGGAACAATTGCTTCACATGATATGGCCAAGGTAAGTTGTAAATGTAGAACTGATGGATGAAGTTCGTTACAGTGTTTTCCTTAACATTTATTGTAAGATGTCTGTAGGATGCAATAGTTGTTTTACAAATCTTTCTGTTATGTACAGGTTTGAGTATGTAGTGAAGACGAACATACAAAGCATTCAGGAGTGTGACCCATCCAAAATGGCAGCTCTGGACATGCGGCCTCATTATGTAAGTAAACCACAAACAGTACAGTGTGTTTGTATGTCATGAACTCACATCTTTGGGACCACCTAAAGATTAGACACCCCAGCTTATTTCACCTGAAGATTAGCCACTAAGAAAACTCAATAATTATGCTGTACAATCTGCTCCCTTCCTTTCACCTAAAATTAATTGAATCATTCTCCATTCATGTTATATGAAGCAAAGAGAATCAAAACTTCCATATTAGATGAATACTTCTCACTGTTCCCTTTGATCAGTTAGTTAGTCTTCTATGAGGAGTAATGTTCTTCACAATTCTTGTTTTCTTTTTGTAATCTTCTGTTATTCCTTTAGTGTACCCCAATAATATATGTCTAGATAATAAGAACCCTTTTGCCAATTAGTTCATGTTGTAAGTGACCTTTTCCCTCTCTTCCTACCCTGAACACCTCAAAATTTGAGATTTTTTTTCAAATCGCCAGGAATTTACTTTTTACTCATCCTCCTCAATTCTTCCATCACTTTCTTTTGTTTTAAAGATACCTGTATGTCAATCCTCAATCTTCAAGTCTTTCAACTACTTTGTTGTTTTTTTAATCTTCAATCATCAGCTACCTCCATATCATGCATGCTTTGTATCACATTTTTAAGAGACAACAAACTCCTTTCAGTCACGTTATCGAAAATCTTGGTTAATGATTTAATTTATTTATAGATCACGCGACGATATGCAGAATTTAGTGGTGCAGTAATGGTTCTACATGAAAAGTTCCCACTGGAGGGTGTAGATACTCTCATGTTGCAGCTTCAAGATGAAGTAGAGAAAGTTATACTTAAGATGGCTGCTGTCTTTCATAATCGCAAGGATCAACTCATTTTCCTGATCAATAATTATGACATGATGCTAACTGTGCTCTCTGTAAGTTGACAACCATTTATTTTTCACTTATTGAATATTATGGCCCATAAGGTACATGGTTTTCAGGTAGTGTTACATTGTATTTACAGTACAGTAATAAATGCTTTATATACATAGCGCTATATTTTTTAATGTAATTTTCAGGAGAAAACTCGCGAAGACAGCCGTGAATGTGAACGTTTGAAGGAATTACTAGGTCAACGTACAGGAGAATATATCGAAGAAGTGCTTGCACCCCACTTTGGTGGCATGCTGACGTTTGTGAGGGAAATAGATCATCTTATTGCCAACAACAACACAGAAGCCTTGAAAGATTATGAGAGTGAGTCTCTCCTGTTATTTTTTTCCCCACTACTCATTTCCCAGCACTGAGGATGGCCAGAAGAAAGGTTAACAAAACTTCCTTCCTCTTGATGTGCCATAAAACTAAAAACAAACTTCAGTAAACTCAATTATCTGGAGTCTAGGAACAGACCTGATGTTTGTGGGTAATTTAAACCCTATAGTAGTTAACTTAAAACACAAGAAACCAATATCTACCACAAGCTCTCTCTCACTCTCATTTTCACACACACACACACACACACACACACTAATCTCTAAATACTCGGCCATAATTGTCCCTTGAAACATATCAAACCATCACCACCACACCAAAATTAACATCAAACTACTTTTGAAGAATATCTTGCATCATCCAAGCCATCCTATTCATTCACTCATACACAGGAAAAGCTAGTATAGTATTTACCTATGTATGGGGGTTTGTTATTCTGCCTAATAACAAGACGTCAAAACTGTAACCTTTAAAGGGATGATGGTGATCTTGTCTTTGTTCTACCCAGTACTGAAGCCTCCTCACCACCAGGTAGTGTCCATGTTGGTTGCCGAGAACAAGCATAATTTTGTACTGTTATAAGTTGAAAAAATTGCAAATAGTATTAGAACAGTCACAAAACACTGTAACATAACTAAATAATTGTAGTGACAAATTAATCCAATATTTTATCTTATTTCAGAGAAAGTTGTGCCACTAGTTAGATCATTTTCAACTACCTGGAAAAAATCAGTCGAGCGTCTCAACAACGAGGTGATGCAGTGCTTCACAAACTTCCGCACCGGGACAGTTGTCCTACAGCGAGCTCTTGAGACCCTTATCACAGCCCATCATACTTTTAACCGTATCCTCGCTCACCAGGCTTTCCAAAATTTGAACATTAAAGGGGATATTGTGAATTCACATCATTTGATTGTTGAAGCAAAAAAATATAAGCCAACCTTTTAAACTGTTCAGAATCAAAGTTAAAAATCTTTTGGAAATATATCATTATAACTCACAGTAATCAGTGATTGAAATTTGGGGGAAAACAGTACGGTACATATATAAACATATAGGCAGTACAGCACCATGATAGTTTTACATTTATCACAAAATATATTTTCCATACATGAATCTCAGATTTTACTGTTGCATTCCAAGTTGCACATATTACACTATTATGTAAAGGTTGTCCACAAGAATTCCTAAATAAAATACTGTAGTATGAAAAAACTTAATTGTTAAAACCTTTTGACATCTAAACTTCTTGGTTAAAAGCTCTCGCAACTTAAGAAGCACAGTTGACGTACCAACCTTGTTAACTCACAGGAGCAGAAAGTACCAAAAAGAAATGTCCCACACCGCCGTGAATATTTTCTTCCGAGGCTGTGTTCGGGGTAGATAACTTGACAAATTTATAACCCAGGACAAAATCCTCCACTTCTCAACCAAAGTAAGTGCCATCAAACACAGCAGCTGAATAAACAATGCAAAAATAATGAAAAAAAAAATTCACTTAATAGATTTCCACACTGTCCATTGTAAACTACAGTATTACCTGTACAGTATAATAAAACACACACACAAAAAATAAAAATAAAAACTATAAAATTCACAATACTACTGCACAGTTTTTCACATGCACACTGTAAACTACTACTGTATAAAGTTTCTTCTGAGTACTGTACAGTATATAGTATATCAGATACATTTAGAAAGTACTTTGCATCACAAACTTTAAATAAATAAATGTCAACATACTTTACAACACAGCATATCCTGGTAATGTTGAGACAATTACATAGTGTGTTGTTGTCTAATTAATCTAGAATGAATGGAAAGTAACAACAGAAAATGGAGTGAGGTAAAATTTTCTAAGGCAATTAGCAGTCGTTAAATTTTACATGGATAACATATGTCAACAGGTCTGTGTTGCTAAGTTTTTAAACACTTCAGTCACAGTAAATATAATGTAAACACTGTATTATGTTCTCTTGGACTGCTTGAGGTTAGGTGAGGTTGTTTACAAAAAACTATCAATGGAAGAATATTTATTTTTTCTTAGAATTTAAGGTCTTGCCTTGTAGTTACATGTCATAAAATCTTACAACTCCAATATAAACTGATAGTTATGCAACATGAAGCATCTAATTAAAATTTCTGATCCTGAAAGCTTACATTTACCAAACAAAGCTGATTAGTTGAAATATTTATAAATATAATCACATATTCAATTTGAACCCTGATAGATAACACTATACAATCTTATTTTCCACTAATCATACCTTGTAAAATTTAAATTAATTAAATTCTATACCGTATTTAAAAAATTATAATTCAAGATCACTGAAACAAAACAAAAAATCATAGAATTTTTGTCAGTCTTATTCCACTCCTGTTTAAGAATTTAAAAATGCTAGTTTCCCAACTGCCGTAATACAGGTCGAGAGGTCAGCTGCACCATCTACTTTGTGGTCATAATTTTGTAATAGAAAGGGCTTGGTACTGCGATACACCATTTTAGGGAACAAGTTACTTACACGTTTAAAACTGGTCTCTAAACTGACAAAATGCCCTCCATTCTAAGGTAGAAAATGTTGGTACTGTATATGGAGGACTAGGAACTTCAAAACTGCACAAAATTGAGTACAATACTGTATACCACATCACAATATACTGCAGATTAATGTTTCATGATAGTGTATACTTAAGAGCTCATGATGCATCAACAAAGAAAAACAATCTGAACTGTTGACATGTGTTGACTGCTATATGCCTGCTTTTCCAAACTTACCAATAATCATTATCAAAGAAGAGTAATTTTCCAGCTTTCTCCCTGCCCTCAAGAAATAACTAAGCTTATGATTTGTTTCTTACTCTCTTCTTTCCCCAGCCAAGAACCACTTGGCCGACACTCTCATGGTCTCTCCCATCCTCCACACTAACTCTACAAGGTTGACAACCAATTTAAGTCACTCTTGTGTCGTCATAATGGCATTTACATTCCCCACCATGAAAGGAGATTGCATTCCATGGTGTCAAGCTGCAGAATCTAATACTGTACAGTGAAACCTCCATATAACGGACTATACAGGAGGGGATTGTCCGGTAAATCGAGGTCCGTTACATGTAAAACCTGCATATAACGGACTACTGTATATTCGTTAGATTGAGGTCCATTAAAGGGATGTTTCACTTGAGTCAACAAAGGGAGACATTTCATACTAACAGAGGCTAATACTATACATCTAAAATCATGTTATTCAGGAGTCCATCTGGGCTTTTACAGTCAAGGATCTTATGACGTATGCAATAAACACCTAACATGAGTTTTATGATGACCAAATGCTGAGAATTTGATTTATTTTTTTTGCTAATTATTTGATGTACTGTACTGTACAGTATTTATATATTAAAATAAGAAAATATTATTGTACCTGTATATTTTTCTGGTAAGTTATAATATTAAATAATAAAAACATGAGAGAAACATTTAATCAAAATTAGTGTGTGTTCAACTAATTGTCATGTACAAGCATTCCTTGATTTACAAAATGGTTCTGTACCAGAAAACCCTTCCATAAATTGAGTTTTTGTAAGAGGAAGCAGATCCTCCCACAGACTCCCATTATGAAAGCCGAGATACATTTTACGAAGGAAAAATATTAAAATGGTACAAAGCTCATTGTTACGGTAATGAAAATTTTAGATGAACACTACTGATTTTATGCCAATAATAAACACTTTTCTCTTATACCTATTAGCATATGAACTTAAAGAATACAGGATAATTATCTTTCACTTAATCTGCTGCATATCACATGAAAGGATATGAGGGGAAATTGGATAATCTGACATCTGGATCAGTGACTCCGTGTGGTGGTGAGAGTGACAAGTTTATGTGTCCTCACATGGTTTGGATGAGTATGTTATACAGTATGGTGATTGTAGGAGAATGATGACACATTGAAAGCTTATTTGTAGACTAATAACACTGTGAGTGTTAGAGAATTCTGAAATAAGTAGGCATACTAGTAATAATACAGTAATAATAATAATAATAAAACTAGATGAATTATGCATCTCATTATTAAATAAGGGCCAAAAAAAAAAAAACTTCAGGGGGTTTTCATTTGTAAATCACAGCATGGGAAGATTTTGTTTTTCATAATTCCATATTTTTTTTTTTTTAATCAAAGATCTGTAAATCGGGGACTACCTGTGTGAAGGAGTTGGACTTTAATATAAGTCAGCAATATCTGGCATCAACTTCTGGGTCATATATATGATTGATTTATATCTAATAATGCTGCTTTTCATCACATTTTATGTCAGAACCACAAAATGGAAAACATTCCATAACACAAAGAAAAACCCGAGAAATGTGTAAAAATTAAAATCTCTTTCACCTAACAATCCTCAAGTACAGTACTGTAGTTACATGCCAGATACTGCCTAGTGTCCAGGGAATTTGTCTGCAACAGCACAATATGATTCTTCTGTCATTTAGTCTGTGGTAAAATGACTACGGTAGGTGACCAACACAAGACCTGTACTACAGTCTGTTCATTTTGGATATGTAAAGACAATACCCCAATATTTTCTCACTTGGCCATGTGACCGGCGACTGTGGCAATAACCACTATGTAGTGAAGCTCAGCTAATTTACAGTACCTTACTCTTGTACTGGTTTGGCATTACTGTACTGACAAAGAAAACTATATATGTATTAATATCATTCTTGATTATGTACCTGCCTTGAGAAATTATAAAATTGTGCCTTTATTCTCTGATAGGCTGTATATAATAAAAAAAAAATAGAAATGATTAAGTGAGATGAGTGAAAGGTTTGCTTGAGCATCATTCAGGGTTGCCAAAGTTAGTACAGTTCAAGAAACTCCAGTTTTGAGATTGTGTTGTGTTTATAAGTCTCATACTGTACTTTTTTTTAAGAATTGAAACAAACCTTAAAAACACCCAACAGTTTACACATATAATGTACAATATGTGATATATGGTGAGATTGTTTCATAAAATTAGTGTGCCAATAACTGATGATTTTTGTGATGCCTTCCTGAGGGTCAAATGTTCTCATAAATCTGACTGATGTGGGTCATGCTTATTTCACACATCCAAAATAAACACACTATAAAACAGTGACATCACCCCAGAACAGAAAACACTATCAAATTATATGTTCCAGGCTTTACACAAATCAATTCAATTTAGTTCCTGAGATTTTTAGTGAAGAATGGCAGATAATAAATAGCTAATTGCTCAATCTGTTTTTTGTTACCGGCAAAATACCATGTTACTAGTGCCCAAATTACTAGTGCCTGTCTCTCATAGGTTGCATGAAACTGGATAGCAGGGTTATGTACTGTAAAGCCCCGTCCACACGATCGAGCAGTGCAGCCTGTGTGGTGTTGTACACACGGGGGTGGTTGGCAGCAGTCATAGTCGGGCGCCGGTAGCTAGTAGGTGGTCGGCAGTGGCGGGTGCGGTACGATCACCATGGTGTGTCGCAGGAATAATCGCTGGACAGTTAAAGCGAAGAGCATAGCGTTGTGTACTATAATAATTGCTGCTATGTGCAAAAACAAGAACCAAATGCAGAAAAGGGAATGGTGCAAAGAGTGGTTAGGTCGAAGAAAAGTATTGGGAAGTCATGCCACAATTTTACGTGAACTGCAAGATGGACATGAGCAAGACTTCACCAATTACATGAGAATGGACCCCAACACCTTTTACAAACTTCTAGTGAAAGTGAAACCATATATAAAAAAACAGGATACCAATATGAGGGAGAGTACATCTGCAGAGGTGCATCTACACATCACTTCAGTATAGAACGAGAATATCAAAACAGTTTATCTCCCATAATTAATGCCTGCAACTTGTCAAGCCACGTATGAAGTACTCAAGGAAGATTACTTGCAGGTGAGATTTGTAGTACATAAAAATTAATTGAATAATGTTAGAATTATGATATGCATAAACAGGAAGCTATGGGACTAGAGTGAGGAGAGCGACAGGAACGAAGAACACACGAATGTCCTCATTACATAATACAGAGTCGTCGCTCCATATCCGGCAGCAAACCACCAGGCAGGCGGACCATGATTTCGCTCAACGACGGGCACAGGCACTCAGATGGTTTGCCCGCCAATTTTGCCCGATAACGGGCATTTAACGCGTGCCCGCCAGGCACTGCTCGATTGTGTGGACGGGGCTTTAAACTTCTGGCACACAGCACATGTCATGATTTATTAAGTGACTCAGCTGAAAATGGCTGCACATCCCTCATATGAACAAACAGAAAACACAGTTATATAGCACTGTACTGGTATCATATCCCCAATGATGTTCAACAATTTGACCCATGTCACTTCTATATTTTTGCATAAAATAGAAAACTGAAAACAATTGTAATCTCCTATTTCATGCATCAACACCTACCTGATATAAAACAAAAATTTCATGATACAGCTTCAACAGATTTTATGTAAAATAAATATATTGATCACTTCAGGTCAGAGTAAGAACCTCAAGTTTCTAATGCAACACAAAAGTCCATATACAGTATATGAATGACACCAGGATATCCAAGATACTGCCAAGGACAATACCTCACAGCAATAGCAGCAGCATGTAACAACGAAGAAGCTTGTGTGAATCAGTTTATTGTATATGTGGTTGATAGTAACCCTTCCTGAAAAACATTTGCTGGTTTCTTAATTTTTTCTCAAAATCAGCTCTATAAAATTAATTGTATAAATA